TGGAATTTTGGGTGATTTGATAAAGGGGTCGGTGATATCTGTGCACTTGAAAAGTAACGTCTCTGCCATAGATTGGTACTATTTTTTCAAATGTCACTGTTAGATTAACAAAAAAATAAATCTGATTAACAACTTTTCCTGTGTATCATGGACCCTAGTAAAAGAGAACTCAACTTTCATTTTTAGCTAGAGAAGCTGATAGTTGTAACTAATAGGGCACGGCCAGGCTCCTTGGAGTAGCTCTTCTTTAGGAGTCTCTTCAGTGTCTCCCATAGGAAGGAAAAGTAAGTTGAGCAGATTTCTTTGTCCCAGAGAAGAGAGCAAAAATCTTCAGAAGAAGAGCTAGTTGCTACAGCAGTGACTTTGCTCACAAAGGTCAAGAAACTTTGAAAATGAAAGCTGAATCATTCCATGTCTTCCTGTCCAAATCCATTATCAGTACTTCTCTCATAGGTGAGATGGTCTCTTCTGAGGACCGCTCTCAGAAAGGGGCCACCATCCATACTACCCAAAGCAATCTATAGATTCAATCCTCTCCCCATTAAAATACCAACAGCATATTTCACAGACCTACAACGAACTCTCCAAAATTTCACCTGGAATAAAAAAAGACTCCAAATGCAGCAATCATGAGAAAAAAGAACAAAGTAGGAGGGATCTCATTACCAATGTCAAGCTGAATTACAAAGCCGCTGTTCTCAAAACTGCCCGGTACTGGCACAAGAACAGACACATAGACCAATAAAATAGAATAGAGAATCCAGATATTGACCCAAACCACTATACTCAATTAATATTTGACAAAGAAGGCAAGAACATACAATGGAGTCAAGATCGTCTCTTCAATAAATGGTGTTGGGAAAATTGGACATATACATGCAAAACAAACAAACAAACAAACAAACAAAAAACAAAAATGAAACTAGACCACCAACTTACACCATACACAAAAATAAACTCAAAATGGATAAAGGACTTAAACATAAGACAGGAAACCATAAAAATACTAGAGGAATCCACAAGCAGCAAAACCTCAAACATATGCTGAAGCAATATCTTCACCAATACAGCTCCTAGGGCAATGGAAACGAAAGAGAAAATAAACAAATGTGACTACATAAAAATAAAAAGTTTCTGTACAGCAAAAGAAACCATCTACAAAACAACAAGAAAACCCACTGCATGGAAAAACATATTTGCCAATATTATCTGCAATAAAGGTTTAATCTCCAACATTTACAGGGAACTCATACTTCTTAACAAAAGGAAGATAACCCAATCAAAAAATGAGCAAATGGCCTAAATAGGTTCTTTTTGAAAGAGGACATAAGAAAGGCCAAGAGACATATGAAAACATGCTCAAAGTTACTAATCATCTGAGAGATGCAAATCAAAATGACAATGCGGTACCATCTCACACCTGTCAGAATGGCTATCATCAACAAATCAACAAACAACAAGTGCTGGCAAGGATGCAGAGAAAAAAGAACCCACGTGAATTATTGGTGGAATGCATACTGGTGCAGTCACTGTGGAGATCAGTATGGTGTTTCTTCAAAAAACTAAAAATGGAACTCCCATTTGACCCAGTGATCTCACTTCTAGGAATATATCCCAAGAAACTAGAAACACGAATCAGAAAGGATATATGCATCCCTATGTTCATAACAGCACAATTCACCATAACTAAGATTTGGAAACAGCCTAAAGCCCATCAGCAGATGAGTGGATTGGAAAATGATGGTATATTTACACAATGGAATACTACACTGCTATAAAAAAAAGAAGGAACTCTTCCATTTGCAACAGCATGGATGGAACTGGACAGCATTATGCTAAGCTAAGCCAGTCAGAGAAAGGTAAATATCACATTATCTCACTCATTTGTGGAATATAATGAACGACATAAACTGATGAACAAAAAAATAGATCCAGAGACAGAGAAGCATTGATCAGACTGTCAAACCTCAGAGGGAAGGTAGGGAAGGGTAGGGGTAAGAGGAAGAGATCAACCAAAGGACTTGTATGCATGCATATAAACCTACCTAATGGACACAGACAACATGGGGTGAGGGCATGAGTGGAGGGTGGGGGGTAGGGGAGCAATGGGGCTTCCCCTTAATCAACACCTTAATCACCAAAGGAAAAAAAAAAAAAAAGAAAAGAAAAGGGACACCAAATGTCCCAAAGTGGACTCTCAAGGTAAGGAAAGGATTCAGCAGCCACAGCATGTGCTTTCACAATGGAGGAAGGCTTCTTCGGGGGCAGGGAGGTGCAACATATCTTTGTGTATTTAAAACTATTGGGAATATGACTGAAACAAATTCTTTTTTTATATTGAATCTTTATCCTCACCCTATAGTAATGCATGTTTCCAAGTTCAATCAGAAGCTGCTTTCATGAGACAAATGTACAAGCATTGCCTCCTATAGCCGTGGGGGAAATTCTCTGTACATAAACTTCCTCACTGGAAGAATGGGGATAATAACAATGCCTATCTTTTAGCCTTGTGAGGATTAAATGATTTACTTATGTTGACCACTTATGACAATGCCTTATATATAGTACGTAATACTTCACTATGTGAAGATGATGATGATCCGTAAATGTTATTTATTCAAGACTATGATATGAAATATCAAAAGGAGAAAAAAGTACATTGCCACCCCAAAACTTCAACCACTGCCCATATTCTGTGTCAGTAAGTAGAGCTGCTCAAAAATATTTGGGTTCCTCATCTTCCAAATGTATGTTAGGTATGTACTTCCCCAGACTGTTTTCAAGTCAGACATGACCAATATTTCCTTTTGTTACCACATCATCCTAATAAATTACATTAATACATATTTACTGCTATTATTAGCATCATCATTATAATTTTAGACAATACGTGTGTATAAAAGATTTCTAAAAATAAATATAAATTATCATTCACTTGGATGTATTGTATTTAATCTTACAGAGATAAGTACACTTTTAGTCCTTGTTCAAGTTTCCATATTTTTTAACATAAAATTCTATTACTTAAAAAGCATCTGTGTGTGTGTGTGTGTGTGTGTGTGTGTGTGTCTAAGAGGAAAAAGACGTTCTGAAAGTGGAATGCTAATCTTGTGTTTTTTTCACTAACTTAAGGATTTCATTGAACTCAGAGTTCTAAAGCCTTTTACATTTGCCCTACTTGGTTTGGGCAGAGAGCCCAGATTCTTCATCATTTTTAAAATTTTAAGTGAGCCAAAAAATCTAACCATCCACATGTAATTGCTTCAGTTGTGCAACTATTACTATCTTTGTTGTCAACAGACAAACGAGACCCTTTCCCTTGGATCAACCAAAATTTTATTCCTGGGCAGGGAGTTCAATATATTCACTCACTGCTTAGCAACAGGGATATGTTCTGAGAGATGTGTTCTTAGGTGACTTAGTTATGTGAACATCATAGTGTGCACTTGCACAAACCAGATGGTACAGCCTCCTACACACCTAGGCTATCTGGCAGAGCCTATTGGTCTGAGGCCACAAGCCTGTACAGTATGTGACTGTACAAAACAACATGAAATTAGATCCATCACAAGAGAAAATGATGCAATCAAGTGATGTATGAGGCTGCTGCCTGTGTAACATGGCATACTGTTTTACAGAAAACATTTTTTTTTCTAAGTAGGAAGAGTACACTCTAAAAGAATGGTAAAAAGTGTAGTACATAGCCGAAACCGGTTTGGTTCAGCAGTAGAGCATCGGTCTGCAGACTGAAAGGTCCTAAGTTCAATTCCGGTCAAGGGCATGTACGTTGGTTGCGGGCACATCCCCTGATAGGGGGTGTGCAAGAGGCAGCTGGTCAATGTTTCTCTCTCATCGACGTTTCTAGCTCTCTATCTCTCTCCCTTCCTCTCTGTGAAAAAATCAATAAAATATATTTTTTTAAAAAATTTTTTAAAAGTGTAGTACATACATAAACCAGGAGCATAGTCATTTGTCATCATATCAAGTATTTCATGCTGTACATAATTGTATGTGTTATACTTTTATACCAGTAGGTTTATTTACACCAGCATCACCACAAACACATGAGCAATAAGTTGCCCTATAACATTATCCCATCACTAGGCAATAGGAATTTTTTAGCTTCATTATAATCTTAATAGAGACCTGGTGCACAAAATTTGTGAATGGGAGAGGGGGGTTCCCCTCAGTCTGACCTGCACCCTCTCCAATCTGGGACCCCTCGGGGGATGTCTGACTGCCTTTTGCAATCCAGAACTGCTGGCTCCTAACTGCTCAGACACTAAACCTGTGCCTGCCTAATCACCCCTAATCCCTCTGCCTACCTGCCTGATTGCCCCTAACTGATCACCCCCAACTGCCTCTGCCTTGTCCCACAACCAGGACCCAGGATTCCCTTCCTCTGGCCAACTGCAGGCACCCTGGATTTGGACCAGCTTCACCCAGACCAGCCACAGCGACAGAGGACCATGGGCAGGTGGCTTTGCCAGGGCCACAGCTGCAGGAGCCCGGGACTGTGGGGAGGGTTTGTCCCGCTCCTGGGCCACAGCCACAGGTGCTGGTGTCCAGGACCGCTGGGCGGGCGGCTTGTCTCTCTCCCAGGCTGCAGCCTGGATGGTCCCCATTTCTCTCTTGAGAGTACATTTGTGCCTGTTTGGTCCCCACTCCTATCCCCCCATTGTTAAGTGTCTGAGCAGTTCTGGTGCAAGGGTGCGAGGATGTGATGACAATTTGCATATTAGTTCTTTATTATATAGGATGGGACCACCATTGCATATGTGGTCACTTGTTGAATAGAATGCTGTTAGACAGTGCATGACTTTAAGTGACTGCAAGTTCATTTCTTTGTGTTTTTAAAGGTCTCATCACCCCAAATAGAAGAGTAGAACCATTATTTTGAACTATTAAGATATTATTCATGTAAATATTGACAAGGAGATGGGGATGGGGGAAGCTCTGAGGTTCAAAGCTCTAGCTGTTTCTCTTTGAACATCCTTTACCTGCCCATGACCTCTGATGAGGTTTCATCTTCTTGGACAGTCTTTGCACAGGACTGGAGAGGATGCTTCTTGTTCCCCAGATGGGGCAGCAATAAATCTCCTGACACGGCAGGATCTCACAGAAAGTGATTTCTGGTATTTGGAATGAGGATTGTGTGGTTGCCAGAGATGTTTTAGGTGCTGCACGGCATGGGCAGAGAGGAGAGAAGAGACGAGGTTAACCTGAGAGCCTACTTCTTCTGTTGACAATTCCTAGGAAACACAGGCTGGGTTTAAGGGTGAGGAATGTGAAGCTCTTACCCGAGGAGGAAGAGGCTGTGGGTGGCAGGGCCGGCTCCTGAGAGCTTGTGATATTGCTGGAAAAGGATAATGAAATGATTTATGGCAGAGGCCCTCAGGGACCCTTCTCCCCAAAGGAAAACAAGACTGGATTCTCACCTTGCAGAAAGATTTGGGGCACGTCGGTCTTGGTCTTTTAAACTAAGTATGTAAAGGGAGACTATCGTCAAGGCACTGTTTAAAAAAATAATAAAGAAAGTATTATGTGGCAGGTTTGATTCCAGATATATCTCACCCAACCAGCTGGCCAGAGATGTTCTCGCACAGGCCACTCAGATGGGAGGGGCGGGGGAGGGCCCGCCTGGTTGACAGTGTGCATGGAAGCCAGCAGTTCCGCTTCTGTGCGCTGGTAAGAAAAGCCCGGGTCGTCCTGAGGCTCAGAGGTACCTAAGATAATCCATGCTGAGGGGTTTTTCCACAAGTCAGCCCCCTGGCCCTGGCAAACTGTCTCAGAAGCATCTGTCACTGGTGGAAGATTACAAGAGGAAGCGTGTGAAGGGCTGGAGGCAGCGCTCTGCTCCTTGCAGGAAAAAGCCAGAGCAAAGATCACATCCACTAGCGGACGGCGTCCACACTGTGGTGTGTGGTGGTGGTAGTGGCAGGGGGCATGGAGGGGGGAGGAGAGAAGGGCAGGGGGGCTTAAAGGAGACAAAGATTTAGTCAGCTGTAGATGCCAAACCCTTTGGCCTGTGCTGACACCTTCCAGCTGCCTGGCTCTTCAGAGCACAATACACCGAATTGGACAGAGGAAGGAAAGACATTCAGTAAAGCACCCATTTCCACACTTTATGGCTTCAAAAGAATGAGTATGTCTTTTCTCCCTGGTGATCAGAACTGAAGCATCCAAATGGGAGCTTTCCTTAAAGGTTCTGAGCTTGGGGAAGCTACTATTCCCAACAATGCTCACGCACCGAGCATTCTCCTCTTCGGGGGAGTCTAGAACTCTCCTGCGAAAGTCTGCTTGGTGACCTTCAATCCCCCTGGGCTGGCCCAACACAGGGTGACCAAACTTGATTTCCTGCCAGTTCAACTTGGCACCTGATTCTGCAGACTCAATGCATTGTTATGTTCCCCATCAAAGGTGGTAGGTTTCCATCATTAAATATACACAGAGTATGTGCCACATGTCCGCATCCCACTCCTGAGGAAAGAACTCCCAGTGCGTCCTCAGCGGCAGCTGGTACAGCCCAGCCGGCATGGCCTTGCCTGGGAAAGTGCTGCTGAGCCCACTGAGGCCTCAGGCCTTGCTTGTGTCCTGTCTGCTGCCTGCCTGCTGTGGTCCAGTCTCCCTTATTCTGTCCTCTCACAGCCCTCCTTTCCTATCTGCCTGTGACTGATCCTCACTATTCTTTCTGATTTCTTTGACGTGTGCTTCAAAGCACGATCCAGAGAGCTTCTGGAATCTTAGAGTAACATGGCTTTCTGCTTCTTTCTTTGGGGGCTAACTCTGGTTTTGACCTTTCTCAATTAGACCACAGGCCAGAAATAGGATAACAAGCCTCATTCCACCCCCTTATCATCTTGGCGGTCAACAATATCGGAATGCATAAGCACGTTTCCAAAGCAGCCTCTTTGTGTCAGATTTAGAGCTCTTACAGCTTTTCCTTGGGTTTTCACGGCAATATGTAAATCTGGAGAATGCTGAGTGTGTCTGAGGTGGTGAGGAGCTCTCTCTCCTGAGCTGGGAATCTCAGCAGAAGACAAGCACACTTAGGAGAGTGAGAAAGGGGGAATGGCTTCTAATGGCAGTTCCGTGTCAAATATAATGGGGATGCTCCCACGATGGGCCGGATAAGGGGGAAGTTAAAATGCAAAGGGGAGGCAAGCAGATGGGGACCCCACTGTCTTCAAAGCAGGAAGCTGCTTTAGACAAAAGGAGTGCAAGTGCCCTGGCTCCATCCCTTACGTTTCCTCTGAGATGACTGTTTCCCCTGAGATGAAGCCAGCAGCAGGTCCTTTCCCACACGAACAAGGCATTTTTCAAGGGGCAGATAAATGCCCCTTTCACCATGTGAATAGTTAGACTAAGAACAAGAAGCCCTGAGGACAGAGGCAAGATGACCAGGGCTCGGAGTCTGAGGGGCATCAGAGCAGCAGTGTGAGCCGGGAGGCCAGAGGCCAGAAGACTCCTGCATCCCGAGAGGGGGACTCCACGTCCCTGCAGAGGAGGGACGGAGACAACAGGGACCCAGAGCTTGCACAGCAAAGACATCGGTCCTTACTGTACTTGCTTGCTTTAGCTACTAGTACATTTGGCTATGAATGCATCATATCGTACATCATGGGGTAATCTCACAGTCCCTTGGGAGTGAAGTCTCCACTGAAGAATCTAGAAGAATCCTAATGAAGATGACTGTCCAGGGGAGAGTGGGTTGTGCCTGATTACTTACTCACTGTCTTCTCCCACATAGGCCAAAGAATTTGAGAGTTGTGAGTTTGGGCCAAAGAATTTGACAAAGTTCTTTGCAAGACTAAAAAAGACACACACACACACACACACACACACACACACACACACAAAAGGCACAGTAACCTGTTACAAAACATCAGTGGACTGAAAAAAGAAAAAAAAACCATCCTTCATTGTACATTAAAGTGCAGAAATCCTGTGCTGCTTTTCTTCCAAGTATGAGTCTATAAATGGCTCCCTCACCTCTAAGCTGAATCAAAGGTCAAAGCCCCGTTTAAAAGGCTCCTTGTCTTCAAAGAAAATGAAAGGCCAGGCCTCCGTTCACATGTGAGAAAAGGAAGATGGGAAGAACAAGGGCTCCCAGAGCACAACAGTGACGTTTATCTTACCAAAATGTCATCACAGCAATGAGCGTTATCACCAAGGTCTGGAAAATCCAGTTGGGACACCACTGTTTTTTTCCTGAAAAATAAACCTATAAAAAGATTCAGTAATGAGCAATGACAAAGCGGTAACGCCAACTTCGGAAAGGACGCCCGGAAGACTCACTCCAGGTGGGGCATCTTTCGCTGCTTCCTTGGGATGGTAAGCGCGCTCCCTTCCTCCTACATCTCCCTCCTCCTACATCTCCCTCCTCCTCAGCCTCCCTGAAAACAAAGCTCTCTCAAAAGCCACTCCAATCCCCTTCTTCCCCTTCACACTCCAGGCTCCAGGGAACTCGCTTTCCCCTGATGTCCTACAGATGATCATCTGTGCCATCCATTCAGAGCTTATTCTTGAAGTTTGATGAGAGAAGAGGGCCTACAACACAAGATACTGTCAGAAGCCAAATGTCCACTTCTCTTAATAGGATAATTTTCAAAATCAAAAGGCTTTTTAAGACACGATAGGATAAATCCCAAGGGAAGGATTTTAGGCATCATGACAAATCATGGAAAAGATTTTTGTGCCTTCTCAAATCTTACACTATGGTATCTGATTCCACCACCTATTTTTTAAGGACAGTCCTGGGCCTGTCTTATTTATCCATTCAACAAATATTCATAAAGTACCAATATGTACAACATGACAGGAGACATAAAAATGAATACATTATAGTCTCTAGGAAGTGAATGAGACAAAACTTTAGGACTAACACATATTGGTATGGAACTTGCATGTGGGGAATGGGCCAACAGTTGCAGGCTAGACAGCTGTGCAATTGCTGGGAAACCTAGTCAAATAGAGAGAGGTTTGCTGTGCCCTTAAGTAAGGTGTTTCTTAAATATGAGTTTTCCTGCTAATGCAATAGGGAGCATTATGCTTTTTTTTTTTTTCCTCTTCGAGAGTACAGAGTAGAATTATGCTTTTAATCAGAAGAAAATTGAATGATGGTGGTCTTTGTTTGAATTCCTTGAGTCCTAATAATGGTGAGCACATCTACAGCCCTTATTAAGTGTCATTAACTCCTCTGAATGCTTTGCACATCCTATTTTTAATCTTCATAGTAATTCTCAACCATCGTCTGAGACAGGAACTGTTATCCCCATTTTAAAGAGGAGGAGAGCGAGGCCGAGGAAGGCTAGGTTCCTCACCCAAGATCATACCACTGGCAAGTCACAAAGCCAGGATATGAACCAAAAACATTTGGCTTTAGAATCTTTGTGCTCTTAATCACAATGCTGTGCTGCCTCCCTTTCTCTGTACGTAAAAGAAGATATTCATTGTTATTATTGAAAAGGTCCGCATGGCTTACCAAATGAACTCCTTAACCTGGTGATCCAGAAACTGAACCTACCTTGTGTTTTCAGCCTTATCTTCTACTCTCCTTCCTAACCAACTCCCACTTAATCCTTCAATGAAGCCAGTGCCAGCTCCCAGACCTTTGCTCATAACCTTCCATCTGAAACCCCTAACCGCTCCTATTAGTCTGGTCAGCACTCACTCTTCCTTGAAGACCCGGCTCCCATAATACTTCTGCAGGACTCTGAGCTCCTGCAATGTTTATCAGATTCAGTTCTTTGCCTTTACTTCTGATCTTCCCTGGCTACCTTGAAATTCTTTAGCTAAAAAGGTGAGTCTTGTCTCACCTTTATCTGCCTTCCACAGGCCTAGAACATTGACTTCACGAGGTCTCCAAGTCGAATAGTGCTCTTCTGTCTATGGTCCCTCTATCATTTCCTGACTCTGTGTTCACATCCCAAGCCCCACCCACTCACACAGGCAAGACACTTAATGTTCTTAATTTAGATTGTGAGACTTCAAGGAATATTTTCAGACTGAGCTCTCTATTTATGCATTCATTTGCCAATATTATGTGCCAGAGCCTGGGGCATATCATGAAGACAGACACAGGCCTGCTTTCATGGACCATAAATTCTAGCTAATTTTCTGAGATAACTGCAAAATAAAGAGACTCTTTGGGTGTAAGATGCAAGCTATAGAGGTTGCACATGAGCAAATTGCACCTATTAGAGTCGCTATGGATGTAGATACCATCCCGCCCTTCCCGTTGCAAACTAGTTAGTACATAGGGCATCTTCCTTACACAATATTTTTAATGTTTTGTGTTGATTGAGTACCTGCTACATGCTGGACATTGTGCTAAGGACTTTAGCTCATTTAATCCTATCAGCATTTTTTGTAAGGTATCATATTATTGGTATCTCTATTTCCTAATGCAATTAAGTAACTTGCCCAAGAACCCTTTCACATATGTATTTATCCATGTATTTACATTTACCTGTACATCAAGAAGTTTGTCAGCTACGTAACATTGTAATAGTTTTTAGTTAGAATATTAAACTTTTTAAAGTCCTTTTTAGCATAGTTCAACGTAGCATAACACGAGGTGTAGAGAGAAAACTAGTGCAATGGCCCTCACATCAGGTCGTCCCTCACCAGGATAAGGTCATGAATCTCTTCCCCAGAGAAGGACCAGCTTTGGAACTCTGGTGGGTTAGAGGGTGCCAGCTGAGTCTCACAGCTATCTATGAACTGCAGCTAGAAAGGGAGTATTGCAGCTTCTTCCTGTCACTCCTTTTTACAGAGAGGGTGTCCTTTAAATTAATAAATGATTAGCCTTCACTTTTTACTGTAAATGCTATCCTACTAGATGAAAGATCTCTGTTCATTAATAAAGCCATCACATTTTAACCTTTGCAAGCAAGTGAATACCTACTCTCTATTTGCATATATAGTACTAAATATCAAAGGGAGAAGAGGGGCTTGAGGATTAACTGACATCCTTTGGGATCTTCTGAAATCAAAGGTAAGGCACTGTGCCGAGTGAAGGCAGCCACATTGAGATCTTACAGCCCAGAACCATATGCATGTGGAGGCCAGCGAATTCCACCTGGTGGGGACACTAGAAATAAAATCTGGCAGAATACTATTTCTGAACTGAACATGTTCTCTACTCATTTCTCCAAACCTCTCTAAAAAAAACAAACCAAATATCTATTAAACAGTTAGTATTTAAATACCTAAATGCATTAAGGATGCATACAAGGGACTTCATTAACAAAGAAATGAAGGGGGAAAAATCTTGATAAATTTCTGTAAAGATTTTTTTTTTCATAAAAAATATTATTTCTGTTAATTATAAATGTAAGTTTATTTACCTTGTTGGTTTTTTTGGGAATGGTCCTTCTTGGAGGAGTACTAACAATTCTGCTAAATTTGCTTTAAAAGGAAAGAGAAAATTAATTACCATTCAAATGCCTCTCCAGCAGTTATAAGACAAAGACCCAGGCTGTCCCTAACACAGCAGTATGACTTTTTTTGTAATGCAGTGGTAATGTAAAGAAGGAAAAGTCAAAGCAATTGAGAGTTCCTTTTGTGGAAAAGAACCTTAGTAAGAATAAATGAATGCATTAAACATTACATTATATTTCTCTTTTCTCCTCCTCCCCCCCCCCTCAAAATTATATCCCAGGAATTGTGCTTTTACCTCCTTAAGTAATAAAAATTATAAAAGTTGTTTTCCTGAGAACCAAACATGGTTTTCTAAATTTAGAAATGGCCACCTCGCCTAGTTAAAGGAAAAGTGACCCTTTTACTAAAATGTAACACTTCTTGTAACATCTGCTTTTAAACAGATGGGTAATGTTTTGTCTAATCTTTAAAGCTGCACCAGAAAAAAAAAGAAAATGATCATTTAAGGCAATTGTGTTCCAAAACGTTCTAAAAGAAGAATAGGGACTTCGTGATCAGAAACAAAGGGTTGCTGGTTATGGAAAGACTCACTCCTTTCTCCAAATTCCTGTGGCAAACCTGGGCATACCTGGTGGAGCTCGCTTCACTGGCTGAGGACTTCCAACTACTGAGCCGCTTGAGCCTGGCCAGCTTCTGGTTCCATATTTCTAATTCCTCTATTCTTTCTTCAAGGTTGTTGGTTAGTTTGCAGAGCTGCTTCACTGCACCCACGTTTTCCATAAAGATCTGGTCCTAAAAAGAAAAACAATACAAGGTGCATAAATTATACATGTGAGGCCATCAGAGAACTGTCCATAGCCCATTCAAAGACATGGGAAGGCACTGCCGACAATAGTTATGCACAACAATGAATTCATTTAAGATAAACTGTAGAGGTTTGCCCCTTAAACAGGTTTTGTTAAACTGCTGGCTGCATAGCAAAAGTGCTTATGTTCAATTTGCAATAAAATGGAAATATGTCCTTGTAACCCAAGAGAGAGAATGGAGCTGGAAGACACTGTCAAGGGTGGACTCTGAAGAATTATTTCCAATGGTCATGTGTTATATTTAAAAGTCGTTAGAAGAAGGTTGAGGTGTATGTGCATCACTAAATCATCCTAAGAAATGACTCCAGTTCTTCCTGGTCAGATAGGCATGGAACTGCTCAGGGGAAGGAGGAGGAATGAGGTCCTGGGCTTTTCTCTGAGTTCTGCCAGTTACTAGTTGTGAGGCCCAGATAAAACACAGCCTCTCTGAACTTCAGTTTCTTCCTCTGTAAAGGAGAGGGGCATTCTTGAGGTGTTAATTTCTGCCCCAACATCCCATGAGCTATCATGTATATTTCAGCCTAACTCCCAAACAGAATTCAAAATAACAGCAATACTTAACTCTTTCTGTTCAGAGAAAGTCACTGACAGGTCAGAAAGAGCAAGAAAGGGGAAATCAACCAAAGCCAGAGTAAGAAAGCCTTCCCCTCCCCCACCCAATTCGCTTCAGTTGTCATAGGAATATGAGTATCTATCTCTCAGCCATAACAACAACCCTAGAAAGCTCTCATAAACTCACACCCTGATCCCATACTTCTCCTCCTCACCCACAGAACTCTTTGGGGCTCATAGTAGCTGGTCCACTATTGTAATGAGCTAGAGGCCAAACTAAAGACTGTTTTGTGGTTGAGGGAATCAAACCGAAAGGTGTGTGTCTTTGAGATTCCCATCATGCAAAACAAAGTTTTAAGGGTTTCAAAAGCTGTAAAGAAAATACTCAGAAAGGATTAAAATGCTGAGCAAAATGAATTTAAAGCTTAGTTCATGCAGTTTAAAGACATGCACACTGCTACAGAACAGACTGGGAAAGGTAAGTGTACAGTCAGTTTTAGAACACTCTACTACTGAACTATGATGCTATCTAATAAAAGAGTAATATGCAAATTGACCATCACTCCAACACACAAGATGGCTGCCTCCATGTGGTCAAAGATGATTGCCCCCATGTGGACACAAGTGGTCACCACAAGATGGCCTGCAGGGGAGGGAAGTTGAGGAGCACCAGGCCTGCAGGGAAGGCAGTTGGGGATGACCAGGCCAGCAGGGGAGGGCAGTTAGGCATGACCAGGCCAGCAGGGGAGAGCAGTAGAGGGAACCAGGACAGCAGGGGAGAGAAGTTAGGGATGATCAGGCTGGCAGGGGAGCAGTTAGACATCAATCAAGCTGGCAGGGGAGTGGTTAGGGGGTGATGAGGCTGGCAGGCAGAAGCAGTTAGGGCAATCAGGCAGGCAGGCAGGCAGGCAGGCAGGCAGGAGAGTGGTTAGGAGCCAGCAGTCCTGGATTGTGAGTGGATGTCTGACTGCCCATTTAGGCTATATCCCACTGGGATTGGGCCTAAGCTGGCAGTCCAACATCTCCCGTGAGGGATCCCAGACAGAGGGGCACAGACGGAGGGACACCCCTGTTTCCCACTGCCCCATGCACGAATTTTGTGCACCATGCCTCTACTCGTATATAAATCACTTAATTCTAGCACAAAGGTTAAAGAACAAAAGTATTAAAAATAACTATAGCTACTATTACAGAAGACTGAGAAAAACCAAGCAACACTAAGAGAAATGGAATTATACTGTTTATTATGCCAGCAGGCTCAGAGAAAGAATTCCAATTCTGAGCAAAACATGGAAGAATTGTTTCCTCTTTATATCTTTCTAGCCCTTTGTCTCCCAAATAAGGGTTTTCCAGTCCTTGCCCCACACGCCCAACCTGTTGCACCCACTGCCACCGCTGCCTCTGCAGCCATGCACGCTGCTGCTACCTCTGGAGGCTTATGTGCGTGCCACTGCTGGTGCAATGCCCCTCACCCCAACCGCCACCCCTGCTGCCTCCTGCCACTGCCACCTCCACTTTCCACTGTCCTTCCCTCTTCCTTCTATGCTGTCTTCAGTCTTCACTCCTCCCTCCCTCCACATATGCAAATTAACTGCTATATTTGTTGGGTTAATTTGCATACTTGCTCTGGCTGGTGGGCATGGCTGGTGGGTGTAGCGGAGTGATGGTTAATCTGCATATTACTCTATTATTGGGTAGGATAATTACTAGAGGCCCGATGCATGAAAATTTGTGCAAGAGTAGCCCTTCTTCCCCTAGCTGCTGGCACTGGCTTGCCTTCGGCACCTGGCACCTGGGATCCAGGACCCAGGACGGTTTCTCTCCAGCCCCAGTTTCCTCAGGAAGGACATCTGGAATGACATCCTGAAGAAGTCTAGTCTAATTAGCATATTACCCTTTTATTATTCTAGATTTATTAATTACTTATTTGCATTAAAACTATAAATTTATTTTTCCCAACCCTATATAAATATGCTCAAAAATTAACCTATTTTCTGAAAATGACCTTTTCTATGCAAGTAAATAATCTTTGTGAGTTCATTTTAACCACAATGTGCACCCAGATAACTGAGAGACTCTTTCTAAATACACACATCCAGGTGCCACATAGAGGCTTGTTTGTATTCATGAGATGGGCATAAGGCTGAGAAATTTTATTTTTTTTATTTTTTTAAATATATTTTATTGATTTTTCACAGAGAGGAAGAGAGAGGGATAGAGAGTTAGAAACATCGATGAGAGAGAATCATCGATCAGCTGCCTCTTGCACACCCCCTACTGAGGATGTGCCCGCAACCAAGGTACATGCCTTGACCAGAATTGAACCTGGGACCTTTCAGTCCGCAGACCGACGCTCTACCACTGAGCCAAACCGGTCCCAGCAGGCTGAGACATTTTAAAAAGCTTCCCCAACTGATGCCCATTATTGTTTAAAAACTATTTTATAATTGAAGTTAATTTAATTGTTCAACTCTGTCTCCTTATTATTGATGATGTTCTTTTTTTTAAGATTTTTAAAATTGATTTTTAGAGAGAGAGAGAGAAATGGAGAGGGAGAGATAGAAACATCAATGATGAGAGAGAATCATTGATTGGCTGCTTCCTATATGCCTCCTTACCAGGGATCAAACCCCAAACCCAAAACCTGGGCATGTGCCCTGAACCTGGAATTACACCGGCAACCTCTTGGTGCATAGGAGTACACTCAACCAACTGAGTCACACCGGCCAGGGCACCACTGACCATTTTAAATGGGACCCACTACCTCAGCAGAAATGTAACTTTCCAGCTGTGATGCAAAAACGGTGAAACTGGTTTGCCACCAAAATTGTTCATGAGACTTTGTGTGGGAAGCGGCAACTGCTTCAAATCGCCCAAGAACCTTCTACCCATTGGTTACCGCCGGCTTTGGGGTGAGGGTCCGTATGCACAGCGTGAGCACGTTTTCCGAAAGGACACATAGGGAGTGTGAAAAGGACACGTGCATGGGTAGACGACAGGGAGGCCCTTGTGAAAAGAGAGCTATTCCCTCGCTTAGAGCGGGTCCCTCATCTAAGCTTCATCTTTCACCATCGCCGCCTTTTCACTCTGTGCTCCCATCATCCTGAGCTCTCTGCCTTTCAGAGAGCCTGTTCTGGTCTGTCTCGTCTCTGGAACTCACAGAGGCTTCTCCCTTCGCCTGAACCACCTGCCCTCCCCCTCCTCCTCCCACCTGCTTTCCACTCAGTGTCATATTTACCTTTGCTACAGACACGCCGAGACTGGGCCCCACATCATGTCCACTGCCGACACCCCCAGCACAGAGCAGGAACTCAATATATTTGCTGACTACATAGATGAATATATTCTTACAAGAGCAGTTCATGCTATGAGGCATGGAGAGGCAGCAACATTGCTCTCTAATGAGATTGAAGAGAGTGACCGACTTCCAGTTTACTTCTTTATCTGAGGTTTCTCTCAGACAATAAGGAGACAAAGGTCCAAACCCCCATGTTAGGAAACGCCCATGAAAAGGTAGGAATTAAGCCAAGAAACACTAGTGTTTACATTTCCCAGTGCAGTGGGATAGTGGCTCATTTGTACTCAGCAAACTGGTTTCCGCTCTGGTTCGGCCCTTTTCCCCTTTGGGGGAAGACCTGCTCAGGAGAGAGAGGGATGCCCCTCAGTCCTCCTTACTCGCTAGGAAGCCCTGGGACTCTGCAGGGCACAGCTGCAAGCTCCTGGGCCCCGGGTCCCGTGCGGGTCTGAGGGTAAGTGAGCCCACAACCCTGGGAGCAGCCGGGCAGTGCCATCGATGTCTGTCTTCAGGAACTACCGCTTGTCCTCGGCCGACGACCCTGAGGAGAGGTGACTAAGCCCGGTGGCAAAGAACGCTGGGAGAAGTTGAAATAGGCTCTGATTTCTTCCCCAGCGAGAGCCAAGGGCTGGAAAATCTCTCCTCGAGGCATCTGATGTTGCCCGGACTGGCGTTTTGTAATCAGATCACGGGAATAAAACAGCCTGTAATTGAGCATTATGAAAATGATCGCCAGAGGGAGAACAACTGTCCTCCGCCAATGGGTGTGTCTGACAATTGTTTGGGCTTTGGATGAACCCGGCTTTAGATCTTTGTCCAGGAGTTTGTTTTGTGGGTAGCTCTCCAGGCCCTGACATGGCCTTAAGAAAACAGAATCTTCAAGCCAGAAGAGCAGGCTGCTGAGGCGGTATGGCCGCTCAGCCCTCCAGCGGATTGCTTGCCAGGCCCCCGGAGGAGAGGTTTGCATGTTCCTCTTGCAAAGAGGACAGATGCGTCCTGGGTTCGTTTCCCTGGGTTTGTATTTTGACCTTTGCTTTACATGGGGAGAGCACAGCTTTATAGAACTGTTTAAAATGATGCTTCATTGTTGCCTTATATGTGTGCTGTGGAATCCTTGCTTCACTTATCTCTGTTTGAGTGGAATTTTCTGTGGAAGGGCTTGAGTCCTCCCGCTGAGACGAGTTCCCAATGGAACTAGCACATGTCACAGTTGGTTGCAATTCTTCGATTTCTTGTCTTCCCTGGTGAGGCTGGAGCTCCTTTGGAGGGCAGTCACTGTGTCTTGTGGCTCCCCAGGGCCAACTAAATACCTGGCACATGTCGCTTAATATTCAATTAATGGACAGAATCAATACTCCTTTATCAAGCAGCTACGACGTGCTAACCATTTTTCTAGGTGCACGGATAAAACAATTAGATAAGGCAGAGAGGATCTCACAGAGCACATTTTCTAGTGGGGAAACTGGCCAACGGCAAGTAAACCACAAGTAAATAATATTGTTTTAAGCTGTAATTAGCACTAGGAAGGAAGCCAACAAGGCACTGAAATGGGAGATAATTGTCCCTATCTTAAGGCATTGCTATGGCGTTGCCCTATTAGTTTTATTTTTTAAGAGCCCTGGGAAAGAATAAAGTGGCCTCAAGTGGAAAGTTATCGTCTCATCCTGAGACTATATACACCTGGGCCCAACAATTCACTGAAGGAGAAATCTCAGCAGTTAATATACGAAAGAAATGCAGAGCTTTATTGTCAGAGAGAGAGGCAAATTAAAACAGTAAGTTACCAGTTTACCCCCATCAGATTACAAAATGTAGAAAGTCTGGTAATGTCAGGTGTTGAGTAGGTAGAGAAGCAGTAAGCCTTGTGCCCGGCTGTTATGACTTAGAACTGACCAACTCTCTGGCAGTATTATTCTAACGGTAAGGCTATGTGTACCCGATGCCCCTCTCCTGGTCTGGGTCCCAGAGCAAACCTCCCACAGATCACACGGGGGCCTGTGTGAGAACATCCATAGCTGCATAGTGTGGTCAAGGGATCCGCACTTGAGAAGGAGAAGGAAAAGACACAGGCCAAGGAATTCCATGCCTCAGACTATGAGCAGAAGTTCATAATTCAAAGACATTTGAAACACATTCATAAAACAACATTAATAATATTCCAGACATCTAAGGGTAAATATGAAACACGTCAGAGTGGCTCCATGGCTCTGGAGGATTGGGTGAAAGAGGAGACGAGGATAAGGGTTGGGCTGGGGGATGCAATAAAGTAAAAGAGCAGTAAAATGAGGATTGTCGTACGTTAGCTCTAAAACTTCAACTATAAACACAAGTCCTCTCAGGGGGAGAATGAAAGGAATTTTGCATCTCGAGAGACACCACGCTGGAAGAAAGTCTCTTTGCCCTGTAGCTCTCTGCTCAGTGTGAGCTGCTGGGAGGTGCAGTGGTGCACAGAACAGCCAAGGCGGAGTCCCGTAGCCCAGCCAGATGCTCTGTGGGGGGAGTCCAAGCACGCTATGTCGACTCCCAGGGAGCAAGTGATGCTTCGAAAGAAGTTAGCATTGGTCAGAAAGGAACTGAATTATATTTAAAGACTTCACTCCTTTAAAGATTATTTGAAAATATTCTCTTTGGAAACTTTGGCATAAATTCAGCTATTTTGTGAAATTCCACGTCATAGGTCCACAGGCCTATCTGAGTGATGAAGCACTGCCACCACCTGCTGACACCATATTTAAATTGTAGTGTTAAGTGTCTGAACAATGAATTTCTTTCCCAACATTTTATTACAAAAGAAAAAAATTTATAAATATATATATATAGAGAGAGAGAGGCCAAGGGCACGGATTTGTTCACTGGTGAGGTCCCTCGGCCTGGCCTGAGCCCTCTCACAATCTGGGACCCCTTGGGGGATGTCAGACTGCTGTTTCAGCCCGAGCCCTGCAGGCCAGGCAGAGGGCCCCACCAGTGCACGAACCCTATGCATTGAGTATCTGCCCATTTGTGGTCAGTGTGTGTCATAACTACCAGCCGAATGGTGGAACAGTCATGTAGGCTTTTATATACATAGATTATCCAGCAAATTTTAAGAAAATGTAAGTACTCATATACCCACCAGCAGCCAGAGAGAGCACCTTTTTCTAATTACTAAAAGGACACAACAGACACACTCTCACAGTGGCCCTGAGTTTCACAAAGAGCTATCGTACGACAATCCTCATTTTACTGCTCTTTTACTTTATTGCATTCCCCAACCCCCACCCCTTATCCTTATCTCCTCTTTCACCCAATCCTCCACAGCCATGGAGCCACCCTAACGTGTTTCATATATACCCGTAGATGTCTGGAATATTATTAGTGTTGTTTCATAAATGTGTTTCAAATGTCTTTGAATTATGAACTTCTGCTCATAGGCCCCGAGTGAGGGGGAATTTTCAGATAAGGTGGTCGGGGAGGTCCTGGTGCTGAGACACAGCTGACGAGTCCTCAGGACTGAGACACATATCCCCAGCTTGTTTCCGCCTGGGCATGGTTTGCTCTTCTGGTGACAAATGAGCCCGGCTGTCTGGAACAAGAATGCCTCCCCCTACTTTCCCAGGGTCTGCACTTGCCTTCTTGGGAATGAACTTGTGTTGTAGCCTCTCCTGAGGGAAGTGGAGAATGACCCTTCGAACTCCTGTTGCTAATAATCTGTCCCCATTCATCTCAACTGGGAATGGGAAGATACCGGGTCAGGGGGGAGAACGAAATATTTTGCTGAATAATGAGAGTCATAAGGCCCCGGGCAGACATTACCTACCTTGAAAACACAGAAATCTCTTTCCTGGGTGTTGTAGGGAGGGTCACAGCCAGACTGATATAGCTGCTACCAGACGAGTAACCCAAGAACCCCCCGCCTAGGCAGCCTAGACATTCCCAAAGCCGTGTCCTGAGACTGACAGCTGTGCTATGCTCTCTTCTCGCAGCCCAGGAAGCTTACAAACATGTGAGAGTGAGGTGACTTTCTGATATGAATACCACTGGATCTAGTTTATATTTTAAGTAAATATAAAAGGTTTAAGTAAATTATTTGAAAACTTCAGTACTTACAAAAAATAAATTTCTCATGACGCACCACTCAAGTGAAGTGATAGTCCAGGTTTGAGAGAGACAAAAAAAAAAAAAAATAAAAAAATAAAAAAAAAAAAAAAATAAAAATATATATATATATATATATATATATATATATATATATATATATATAATTGAAGACCTGATCCCGGGAATCAGGAGGGAGGAACCCAGCTTCTGCCACTCAGCCCTCACAGCCCAGGGCTGAGCAGGCCATCCAGAGCTAAGTATGTGCAGTCTGAGAACTTGCAGACAGAAGACGATGGAAGGGCCTATTGTGAAAATGCACCTTCTACCTTGCTGCTCCAGCGCCGCGTGCTGTCCAGCAGGGCTGGTGAAAGCGCCATCACCTGGAGGCCAGGGCCTCAGGCCACATCTCATTCGTGCTGAATCGGAACCTGTGTTTTGGTAAGATCCTCCCACAGACTCTTAGGTGCTTTGAAATCATCTCGCTCAAGCATCTCTCCCAATTACTATAAAATCCCCCGTCAGTCAGTCTCCCCTCCCAGCATCAAACATAATAATGCAACATAAAGCAAACAGGCATTCAAGTGAACTGGCAAAGTTCGCAAAAATGCAGGATGGCACAGAATGGACAGACATGATCCGCCCGGGGGGAAGGCAGCCTCGGACCCCTGAACAAGGGAAGAGGGGTGACTCCACAAGCATGGCCACCGTCCCTCAAAGACAACATGTGGCTATCTGAGACTGAAGACAGGCCCCTGGAGAAAAGGATGAGGCTCATGAACATCTTTTTAAAAATGACCCACAAACAAATACAATTTTGTGGGAAAACTGTGCTTAAACAAATCAACACTTAACACTTCCTCCATTCTAAGGAGGAGCACGTTGTTTTCATGATAACGTCAATGACATGTGAGATAAGTTATTTTTCGGGAGTTTTAGTTCCGTTTCTCAAGACAAAGTCTAATCCCAATGTCACTCTTTCTTGTGATTTCAGACCTTGGGTACCTGGGTTTTCCCAGGGCTGGTTACATTCCTTTTTCTTTTTGCCTCTGCGACTTGGTTTGGGTGCTGATGTCCGGTGTGGGATAATTGACACCAACTTACTCCCCAGCTGGGGGAAGAATCCTTCCGACGCTCCTGTTTCCTGGGTGGATGCTTCGCACACTGTGATACCACAGAAGAGGGACCCGTTTCCTCATCTCTCCTCCCCCCCCCCTCCCTGAGGTTATAGCTGTAGAGGCAGGTATCTGTTCAGTGGTTACCTTGTCGATCATGAGGAAGCTCTATAGCTGTAGAGGCAGGTATCTGTTCAGTGGTTACCTTGTCGATCATGAGGAAGCTCTCCAGCGTCTCTCCGTTTTCACAGGTGACATCACCAACTTCCCTCACGGCTCTGGGCAGGACCTCTCGCACCTCCTGGGCAATCATTCCTACACACAAAACACTCCAGCAGGTTGAGTCAGGAAAAGGCTTTTCTGGAGAAAACCCTCCCAGGTCTACCTCAGAATGGCACACTGACAGCCACAGGCCACAGGGGAAGTCTTGGCAAATAGCTTTTGCTTTGATCTGCAAGCATTTGAAGCAAAGGAGGAATTTTGAGCCATGCACTGCTATAGGATTAAGTGGGTGTGCCGTTTTTGTTCCTTTTCTTTGAGACTCAGGGCCACATGCTGGAAGGGGTGAGTAAATGCCTTAAAATTTCTCCACAGAGAAGCAAGGGTGGGGCATTATCTTGGTTTGGGGTAGGGGGGTTGTTTGTTTGTTTTGTTAGTTTGTTTTCCTGCAGAAGGACGTTGCCTCCTAATCTGTTCTTTAGGATTGGGATTGGAGTATAAACACCACTTTGGCCTTTCTCTCACCTAGAACTGTCTACTGTGCCATTTTCTCTCTCCTTTCCAGGACTGCCCTTGAACAACTGGAGCTGCCATCTGCCCCTCAAACCTTACCACATGAGCAAGAGGAGGCCAGTGAAAAAAAACAATAAATCTAGTACTGAAAATACTCCACCAGTACCTTGGGGTGCAGGAATGGGGTGGGTATTGAACAAAGACAACAGGAATTTCTTTAAGCTTTCCTGTTCTAGTAATTATGGGTTTCACAGAGGAAGAATTAGACCAACGGGATATTTTCAAATGCCATAGCACACAACCTTCAGGTAAAGAATTTGGAATTAAGCCCGGACAGTGTGGCTAAGTGGTTGAGCATCGACCTATGAGCCCGGAGGTCACAGGTTGACTCCTGGTCAGGTCACATGTCCTAGTTACGGGCTAGATCCCCAGTAGGGGGTGTGCAGGAGGCAGCCAATCAATGATTCACATCATTGAAGTTTCTAGCTCTCTGAAATCAATAAAAATATACTTAAAATAATTTGGAATTAAAGTTTTAATGGGAGACAATACAAAATTAGAAAGGGAACTTGTGTGTGTGTACCTGTTTGATGGGCAGTGTTTATTCCCATTGCAGAAGCGAACTCGGGTTTGTAGTCATATTCAACAATCCTCATTTGGGCTATTCTTCTCAGCTGTTCATTTGTGTCAACCTGGTGGAATGAAAGAAGAGCAGACTTCACCCACTGAGATACTTGTTATTCAAATCAATGCCCAGAGTGACCCGGAGAGGTTAGATGTGTTGAACATTTGATTGGTTTATCCTGTTGCTCAGATTACTTTAAGAGAAATTTATACTTTTCTCTTTAGAGAAGCTAAGGTTTCAGCTTCCATGTTAGTGACTTGTGTTCACCGATTTGTAAACTGAATCAGTTTTGCTAGTATGTCTGAATTCTAGGACAAAAGCTCCCTCGTTCACTGCTCCTGCCTTCTTCTTCCCTCTGAGAGGCAAAGCCTCCTTCTGAGAAGGAGGCTGCTCACTTTGGAGAGAAGCAATTGCTGAAGGATGGAGAAGTACCATTTCCAAATGAACACTCCGCGTCAACACCAAACAGGTCAACCCTATATTTATAAATTGGAAATGCAATGTTTATTTCAAGTAACAACCTTTAAGGTATGAATATATCCTCTATCATTTGCTTCTAACCATTTTGCTGGAGAAAATTTCTTCAGGGGGCAAATTGAAAATCCAGGTTGCCTGCCAGCTGGACCCTCCGGACTCAGACTTCCCTCATGGAGATGGCTCCTCCCCAGACTTGCCTGCCAGTGCCCGTGCTTTCTGAGCTCACTGCTCTTGCAGGTTGTTAAAGGCATTCTCAACAGTCACTGCAAATTCTTCACACACAAAAAAAAAATTGCACTGGGCCCCAGAAAAAATGATACTGATATAGACAATGAAGATCATTTTTCCCTAAAGCTAAATATGTTTAATTCAAAGCATTCCCCTTTGGGGATTTTTATTTAATGAATTGATGGCATAACAAGACTGTTTTTTATTGACCTTGTTCAAAAAGTAAAAATTTGGAGGCCCTATGTGGGTCCCCTAAATTTTCATTTAGAATATAGCTGGATTGTGAAACCATTGGTCTCTTGACAATTAAAATTATACTGTCTCAACATTCATCCATGTGTCAGAGCAACCAAAATGCTTCATTGTTGCTGCTACTGTTTTAAGAAAACCCTGTCATGACCTCAGCTCCTCTGGACCCTCTGTGCCTCCAACCTCATTAAGGTCTCTTCCGTAGGTGAGCTGATGGCAGAGCCTGTGGCTCAGCATCTAACTATCTAGCTAAATGGAAGGTTTACTTCAGGTGTTTGTCTGGCAGTATAATTTTGAGCTCACTGTTGTTTTTAGGAAAAACTTGATTCAATGCGTTCATTCGTTGTCTTATTCAACTGACATTTACCAATCATCTTCAACACACCATGCACTGCACTAAGTGCTGGGACTTCACCTTTTCACCTGAAACTAATCCAAAATAATTTTTAAGCTGCAGTAAAAAAATAAAATTTAAAAAATTTTAAGAGTTTGTGGTCCACACAGGAAGGCAGACTCATCAATATTACAACTGGAGGCCTGACGCATGAAATTTGTGCAAGAGCCTTGGCCCCGGACTCTGCCCAATGCCAACCAGGGCATAGCGTGTGTGGGGGGGGGGGGTGGGGAGGGGGCTCTGCCACCTCTGCAACAGCCCCTGCCCACTGTGGCTTTGTCTGGAAGGAAGGACATCCGGAATGATATCGGGTCTAATTAGCATATTATGTTTTTATTATTTTAAATATTATTTTAGATGTGGCATGCAGGGTGGTGATGGAACTGTGAATGGAGAATGATGGCCGCTCCAAGCAAGTATCTAAGAATTCTCAGGAGAGCTAAGGAGGGCTTCCTCCAGATGGTGAAGCCCAACCGGGCCCTTGGTTCCTTTCAGTTCTCAGCTGCGTTCTGCTCCTTTCACTTCAGGACCTTTGCTCACAGCATTTTCCATGCCTCCGTAGCAATTGCTCCCCTTCCACCTTCTCCCCCAGCGTACACTCCCTTCACCAGAGGAGCAGTTTTTGACCCTCAAGACGAGGAAGGGTCCCGCTGCTTAGGTGCTAATGGCACCTGTCCTTTCCCTTGGTAGCACTAATGGAGTTATCACCAGACAGCTGGTTGTGGCACCCTTCCTATCTGTCTTCTCGCTGGGCTGTCCTCCTGAGGGTGAGGACAGATGAGGCCGTGACTTTCTGTTCATCACCCAATCATCAGTTTCCAGGTAGTAGGTGCTCAACTAATATCTGTTTAATAAATTAACTTTAAGATAGGAGCTAGTTGTGGGAAAATGTAGATAGGGGCGTGGGGGGGGGGTGGAGACTAGAAAATGTGACTAAGAAGGGTGCTGGAAGGAAGAACACCATGAGCCAAGTCCCAAGGCAGAAAATCCCCCAGTGATGTCTGCACAGCCGAGGCAGCGTTTGACATGACCAGGCCATAAAGATAAGGTCAGAGCAGGGAGGGCCTTGCAGACCACGCTGGGAAGGAGCCGTCCCAATCTCACACATCTGTCCCTGGGAGCTCCTTCATTCACTCAGCAAGTATTTACGGAGCAGTGGCGACGTGCCAGCTGCTATTCCAGGCCCCGGAAGTTAAATGAGTGTTTCTTATCTGAAGTTTACATTTTGATAAAAGCTCTGTTCCTCAGGGTAAGGCCAATCTCTTGTTCATTTCAGGAACTGCACAGGGCCCAGCAAAGTGTCTGATGTAATCGGCACCCAAAGCTTCCTTGCAAAAAAGAAAGAATGGGAGGATAGAGGTAGTGCGATGGCAGAGCAACCCTGACACTAACAGAATTGAAGATGGGGATCAATCAGGAGCCAGCCTGGCCTGGCCCTGTTCTAGCCAGGCCCTCCCCAGTTCCCCATGCCCCACACCCTTGGGAGTCCCATGCTTGCTTTGCCCACTTTTTGTTATCCCTGGGGTTTGTGCAAGAGTCCCCACTGGAGACCACCTTCCCTCAGGCTGTCCAGGCTCTGTAAAGGGAAAAGACCCCTGCTGCCTAAGTTGGATCCTGGGATGCGATCAGGTATCAGACAGAGTTTTTGCCCAAAGAAAATGTTGAGGGTTGGCTTGGGGGATCTAAAGACCTATAGCAATGTTTCCCTAAGAAAATGCTCTTCTGGTTTCTGGCTCAGACTTGCTTTCCGAAGCTAAATATAAACTGCCTGGGCTGCATGCTCCCTGGCTGTGCACTGGCTGGGGAGAACCCCGGGGGCCAGGGCTGGGCCCTGTTGGAATCCTGCTCAGGAACCGCACACAGACCAGCACTTCACGCCACACCTTGCTCGCCACGTGTGTTGAGCAAGAAGGTAGAAACTGAATGACAGTGTCTGATTTGATCTTGCCCAAAGCAGTTTTGGAAAGTTTTGACCTCGAATGCAAATGGCCATCACCTTCATGCTGCCTCATGCCCAAGGTTTCTCTGTCGTTAAACAGGAACTGCACCACGGAGAAGACATCTCAGCCTGTGGGAAGCCAGGGGGTTCGGGGAAAGAAATCTCACTGCAGGGCACTGGCCCCGGCCCTCAGCCAGGACAAGCAGTGGCCTCGGACATGGCTTACCCAGAGCTCAGGAACCCCTGCATTCGCCTGTGACCTGAGGCGAGACTATTTACCTTCCTCCGGCTCTCTTCACTCGGTTCTCTTTAACCAGCTCGCTGCCGGTGCAGTGGAGAGAAAAACATTTTGAGCATTTCATCTTCGTTGATTTATTTTCCCCCCTGGCTTTTATTTTTGGGTCTTTTGCTGCCTGTTTCCAGCCTTCACTGCAAAATTTGACAGATGTATCCAACTTTCAACTTCCTTTTTTTTTGCATTGACTTTGAAGTTCTTCATGCCCCTTTGATGTTCAGCACACCCTTTCCACCCTAATTTTGTTTGGTTCCCAACCCTCGCTTGCTTGCCCAGTCTGTAATCACATCGGTAAGCTCAAGGCCACCGTCCAGGAGAGTGAAACTGCTCCTCTTACACCAGCCTCCTTTTCCTGGGGCTTCAGTGTCTCGGCTTCCATCACATCTGCTCCAGCTTCTCTGTGTCGTGGACACGCATCCAGGTGAGCCCCAGAGGTCTCCTCCACCAGACTCTGCAGAGAGTCCTTGTGCTTCATGCCTGCAAACAGCCTACGCTGCCCGGAGTGAGGAGGCCCAGGCCAGGGCAGCAGCCCATGTTCATTTTCCCTGTCTCGGGGCTCGGTAACATGTTTTGCCAGAGCTCATCCAGTTGCCATGCAACCTGAAAGAATGAAGGAAGCATGCCCCGAGTGTGCATGCAACCAGATCAACCCAGGATCCCTACCCAGCGCATTTGGAAAAACAAAGTCGGGGAGAGGTGAAGATGAAGCCCACGCATGCGTCAGCACCATCACCATCACCAACATTACCACCTCCTCTCTCGTCTGTAATAAGTAACCTATTGAACAGACAAGACTTCCAGAAACATGTATTTTGTAACTGTGGGTAGACCTATTAAGAACAAATACGTTATTATGAAATCATTTAAGAAATAAATGACATATAATTTGCACCTTAAAACAATTTGTTTAAAGCCATGGGTAAAATGAAGATAAGCATTTCCTGCCAGCTGGTGTGGCTCAATGACTGAGCATCGATCCCTGAACCAGGAGGTCACGGCTCGATCCCCAGTGTGGGGCATGCAGGAGGCAGCCGAGGGTCAATGATTCCCTCTCATAGCTGATGTTTCTATTTTGCTCTCCCCCCACCCCTTCCTCTTTGAAATCAATAAAAAATATATTTAAAAGAAAAAAAAAAAAAAGACATGCATTTTTTTGTTCACAGAAGAATAAACAGAGGCATAGAACGTCTCTGGGCCACACTTCCCGGGCCAGTGGGTGCCAGAATCGGGACTAAAAGTCTCGCCTCCCCCCACCCTCCGCGCGCCACCCCCCCATCCCCCCCACCCCCCGCCCAAGACCGGGCCAGGCCCCTCTGTGTCCCGTCATGCTGCTGCGAGCAGGAAGGGGAACAGGAATGTCCCAGTTGGAGCGAGGCTGGGGCGGCATTTCAGTCTGTGGAGGATGCTCCTAGAAGGGATTTGAGAAGCTCTAGGGAAGTTTGCTATTTTAAGACAATAAATTTTCTTCAAGCCCTTTCAAGATGGTAGGTAACTAAAGTTCCGGGGATGGCCTGGTGGCAGCAGCAGGGGGGACTTTCCCCAACTGTCACCTCCCATTTCCATCTAGATAAGACCTGGCGGGGAATTGTACAGCCAGCTGCAAGGACAAGCGTGCGTTGGTGCGATCTGAGACACAGACAGTTTTCTCTCCCTGAAAGGCAAGGGCACACTATCTGGGGCTGGCATCTGACAACGTCTGTGAGAACTTTCTAGCCCTGGGAGTTCCCATCCGGCTAGTAGGTCACAGCTCTTCCAACAGGAGCCGCACACAGCTCCACAATCGGCACGGACGGACGTCTACAGTTCCAGCCGCCCTCTGGAATCCCCTCGGCCAGGCGGACATTCCTGGGCTGGGTCAGAAAACCCGGCGCAGATTCGCACGGGGAAAGGAATGCAGTCTGGAAGAACGGCCAGCGATTTACAGATTAAAGTCTCCTATTCCCTGAAAAAAGAGTGCGGACAGGAGACCTAACAACGCCATGCTGCCAGGGCCTCAAAACGCTTCCCGGAGAAGCAGTGCCCGTGAGAAGGTGGGGACGTGGCTGCGGCAGTGGTGGGGACACGGAATTAAACGGTGGAAGATCTGGAATCAGGAGGAGCCTGGCATCTTCATCCTAATCCCTGAGATAGGAGGAGCAGCTGTGATTTCCCCCGAATCAGTGCTTCTCTCAACGGGTGAAAACATATAAAGGACTCAGCGGGGCCAGGCAGAGAGGCACCGTTCCCACCTCATAGATGGAGACACGGAGCTTCCGTGAGGCTAAGGGGTTGTCGGGGTCACGCTGCCGGCTGAGCCTCCTGACTTCTAGGCCTGATTCCCGATTTCCACACGGCGGCTGCCTCTCCACCGAAGGGGACAGTCTTGGCCGGCTCTTGCACATCCCTGTGTTAGTCTTGCCCTTCCCAGTCCACCCAGCCCCGGCACGGAGGGCGGAGCCCCTCGGAGAAAGCTGGGGAGTGCGGCAGACCGGCCAGCAGGCCGGTGCCCAGGCTCTGAGAGGAAGAACCCGGAGAGTCATGGGCAGGAACTGGCCTGAGACAGTGCTCGGAGGACACACAGGGAGGTGGGGATCTGGAGATGGGAAGGAAAGGGCAGTTGACAATGCGTGGAAGGAAGGGCCGGGGCCTGTGGAACATCGCCCGGAGACCTGCTGCGTGGGCAGCCAGCGCGATGCTGTCATCGCCCCCTGCTCCTGTCATCCTCCGGGGTAGGACTGCTTTGCAATTCCAGCAGGAATGCCTACCGGCTGCAGCACTCATCGTTGTGAAGCAGCCGCACAGCACAGGCGGCATGCAGAGGTGCCCCCTGCGCGGCATGTCAGAGGCCAGGAGCACCCGGCTCGCCTGACTCAGGTGTCAGAGGTGTCCAAGGCCGGCCCCGTGCTCACCTCCTGGATGTTCTGCTTGGCCCGGCTGTCAGAGGGATGCATAATTGTCCCCATCACTTTCATGTTGCCACAGACAACCAGGGCTTCATCCGGTGCATCTGTGTTTATTCCCACTCGACCATGACAGACAACAGATTCTGGAACTTGTCCTCGCTGCCATAATGCATCACTGTCATTTTCAAATTGCCCAGGGTTAGAGGCCTGGAAAACATACATAAATATGTTACCATTAAAGTCACAGTAGCAGGAATAGACGATCAGTTTATTCCTTATAGCAAAGGAAAACAATGTGTCTAAGTCTTTCATCTGAGACTCGTTTGTTGGATGGGACATTTTGACATACCCCTATGGCTCCGGCCCCAGGAGAGCCAGGGGCCCCTACTTCCTCTGCCCGCCATGAGCAGGAGCTCAGCTGGCCATGGTTTGGAATAACCAGTCTCTATTGCTCACATCTGGAATTGACGATGTGTCAATTGTACTGAGAGAAAGATGAAGGAAAAGACTCGCAAAGACTGTCTTTTCAAGGATAGTAATAATGATCTTAAAACCAGAACATCGCATCAGAAAATATTACAAGGTTATTAAAAAATCTCAGATAAATTAAAATAAAAAAAAAACACCTTGAATTTAGCTAGCCCTTTTATAGTTTTAAAGCACGTTCATATTTATGATTTCATATGCAATTGGCTAGCTAATGACAATATGAATATATTTAATACACCTCAACTATCCCCTAAACACAAATAATACCGAAGGAAGAATAATAACTACATTTGTCGTTTAAATCCACACTCCAAGTCTTTTTTCTTTTTAAATATATTTTATTGATTTTTCTACAGAGAGGAAGGGAGAAGGATAGAGAGTCAGAAACATCAATGAGAGAGAAACACTGATCAGCTGCCTTTCTGCACACCCCCCACTGGGGATGTGCCCGCAACCAAGGTACATGCCCCAGATGGGAATCAAACCTGGGACCTTTCAATCCGCAGGCCGACAATCCATCCACTGGCCAAACCAGTTAGGGCTCCACACCCCAATTCTATGAGACAGGTACCATTATCTTCATTTTACTGATACTGGGACTCTGAGAGGATAAAAAAAATTGCCTGAGGCCTGACAAAGCTAACAAGTTCCAGAGCTGGACTTATACTTCCTTTGATTGCTAAATAATGACTTTAACTCGGCCTTTTCGTGCTGTTGCCCAGAAGCAGTAGCCCTGGATGAATGTGGCCTTCAAAGAAAATCCAAGTGAAACTTTAGACAAAGTTCTGGAGATTTTACTCTTAAATAAAATTCTTCATTGAAGAATTTCCCAATGTATGGCCTCCCCCCTTGCCCAGTTCCCTGCAGCCACTGAATATATTTCCAAACATCTTTAAGTGGAGATCTCTGAATCCATCAAAATCTTCACAACGAAATTTATTTGCTTTGGAAATTATGACCTATCCTTCTAAATCTGACTTTTGTGCCTTTGAGGCAGGTTGTCAGAATTTCAGACAAAACAGTACGGACCCTGATCATCAGCACAAATGCACAGTCTTCACTTTATGCCTTTCTGGCGGTCTCCGGGAGACATTGCAAAGTCAGCACGTGAGCATGCGCAGATTATTTCTGAAGAATACCTGAGAAACCAAAAACAATGGTTTCTTCGAAGATGGGGGCTGGGAGACGTAGAGGCTGGGGTGGAGGGAGATGTGCTGTTCACTACGTGCTTTCAGTAAGATCTGAATGCTTTCACTATATGCACGTGTTACCAATTTAAAAATAAATAATTACAAGAAACCACAAGGTGTAGTGCTTTGTTTGGGTTCAGGTAAAGAACTTTTAGGTGTCTTCGACTTCCTGTTTCATCTTACCTGACTAGCCCCTGACTCTATCGTTGACACTTGATAGACAATAGCAGTAAAAGAATATAAAGTAGCAACCTTGAAGATTATTTTGTGTGAATTCATTCAAACAAAGAGCTTTTCTGCAAAATCCCTAGAGCCCCCTTGGCTGTGAATGGCAAATTGGCTTTGAATCAAATCCTTTTAGAGAAAGCAATCGACTACATCCAAAGGTATCCCATACAAAATGTTGATGTGTTTTTGCTCTACTCAGAGCATAATGAGCCAGCCACTTCAAGAAAACAGAAAAGTACAGTGATGGGTTTTTGTTTTCTTAATGAGTTTTGGGATAATTATTATCATGTTGGTAACTGTTACTGGAACAGCAGATATAGTAGGATTAATTTTTTGGGACTATTACAACAATCTCACTTGGCTTTCATTGGATGAAGACTCAAACCCCTAAAATATATTCAGATTATTTTGGGAAGGGCCAGAGAGAACCATAATTGAACCGGTGACCTCTTAGTTCATGAGTCAATGCTTAACCACTGAGTCACACCATCCCGACTTACATGTTTTAAATATAGAACCTTAAGGAGGAGTCCTAATCCCTAATGGAAATTATATATATATATATAATATGCAAAGTGTCCCCTTGGAAGTTTGACCAGGAGAATGGGAGTTTGATAGCTTGCTATGACGTATGCTAACCATCAGGGGGCAGCATGGAACATGGCAGGTGATCAGTGGTGCAGGCAGGGCACAGAGGGCGCAAGGGAAGGTAGAGGCAGGGAGGCGGGAACCTGATTGGCCCTGATCAGCCCTGATTGCCAGCCAGGCTGAATTTTGTACACCACGCCTCTAGTGTTATTATAAAGTCTGTGAACTTGTTTTCTGGCATCCAGAATCTTATTGTGTCAAAGCAAACTATAATGGAATCATAAAAAAGTGTGCTGTAATTATGAAGCTATATTCACATGTGACTTAGTAGTAGATGATTGTATCAAATACCAAAATGAATTAACATTTCCGAAATGCTGTCATTATTTATCCCACAGTCTCATATATTTAGGAAAGAACTGAATTTAGTCTGTTATGACACAAACTGGCTTTGTGGCCTTGGGACAGTCACTAAACCTCTCTGTACCAGGTTTCTCCTCTGAAGAATAAAGATAATAATGTCTTTAATTTTTTTTTTTTTTTAAATCTTCACCCAGAGAGAGAAAGGTTGAAAGAGGGAGAGAAGGAGAGAAATACCCATTGGTTGCCTTCCATATGCTCCCTGAGTGGGGATCAAACCTACAACTCAGGCTTATGTCCTGACCAGGAATGAAACCAGCAACCCCTTGGTACAAAGACAACGCTCAACCAACTGAGCCAACAATGTCTTCTTTAGCTACCTCACAGGATTGTGAACGTTGACTGAAATCATGTGTACACAAACACTGTAAAAATAAGGGTAAAGAGTCTTGAATTTATCCTCAACACATTCCTCTGTGGATAGTACCCACTATTCAACATATAATTGATTAATCTGCTGTCCTCAGCCACAGGCCTGCAGAGTTGCATAATTGAGGGCAAGGGAGGAAAATTCCACATACAAAGAATACCATGTAAATGGTGCCCCCTGCAGGTGCTTGGGATAGAAGACAGCAATTCATGGCAATTGGAGGCTTGCTTTAAGGTTGGGATGGAAAGTTGGAATTTCTCTGCTTTACCATTGTTTGGGCTTCTAAAGCCATAGATGAAGAGCGCTTGAGCTGAGGAAAGCAACTCCTAAGAAAGCAGTATTTGTATCTTTTGAAAGGGCTGTGGAAAATGGGTCCCAAAATGGCCTCTACTCATGCTACTCCGAGTGTGGTCCCCAGGCCGGGAGGGGAAAGAAATGCATATTCTTGGGCATCTCCAACCTATTGAACCAAAAAGTTGGGGATGGGACCCAGGTGTCTGCCACATCTTTGAAAAGCAGACATAAGCAAGCATCCCTCCAGCCAGCTACGTATCAGTGAAGCAGGTTGGACAATGCATTTTAGAAGAAATGTGGAACCGAAGGAAAGCCTCGTCACTCACAAGGAGAACCTGCAGAAACTCCACTGGGGAATCCTCCCAAAACAGGCATCTGGGAAACAACTCCGTTCTTTGGAGCAGACCTTACTTTTCATGAAACTGGTCAATTTACACTCTGGGGACATAACCTATTTCTAAAGCTGTTTTGATTGACAACCCAGAATGACTGAGTCCATATAATTTGGGTGTCATCTCACCATTCTCTCTCCAAGGAGAATTCTGACACGTTTGGTTTCCTGAACCCTCCTGGAGGCCCAAACTCTCACCTATTCCAACCCTCTTACAGCTCCCCTTACCTGAATCTCTGCTATTGGGAGGAATGAGTCTTATGCCCCCACATGAATCTGAATTTGCTAAATGCAATTCCCAGTTCTCCATTTAATGTGGAGGTCTTGTAACATCTTTATCAAATTTTTCTACCCTCATTCTGGCGCTCAAATTAACAGAGCCAGGTCACAGCTTAAGAGGGCATATTTGGCTTTTTTTGTAAAATGCAGGCTGGTCTGCTCTCTGCCCAACTCGTGATGTATATGCCTGTATGGAGCCTTCCAGAATCTCTGTTACAGGACGTGTGTCCTGTGGGCATTTCTAATACTCACTGATTCAGAAAATACCGCCATTTCTGAAATTGTTTTTCTCTTGTTTGGCATAACCTTTACACAAATAGATACAAAAGTCTACATTCATTTTCACTTCTGTATTTTGGGGTTAGAGTGGACAAAAATATCAATAAGATATTTCTATTTTGGGATGAGGGAAGTTTTGTGTTATTACCATGATTTGTCTCGTGTTTGTTGGGGAAACACTTGTTTTATTCAGCACACTTATAGAATAGGTTGTTCTCTTTAACCAAAAATTGTGGCTAGAAGAAAACAAATTTGGAGTGTAATCATATTTTTTCTTCTATTTCGTTCTATTTTGGAGTGTAATCATATCTTTTCTTCATATTATTTATGGCAATCGTTTAAAAATATTTTTATTGATTTCAGAGAGGAAGGGAGAGGCAGAGAGAGATAGAAACATCAATGATGAGAATCATTGATCAGATGCCTCCTACACACCCCCTATTGGCTACTGAGCCTCCTGCAAGCCCCTCCTGCATGCCCCCTGTGCCCTGAGCAGGAATGGAACCATGACCCCCTGGTTCATAAGTCAATGCTCAACCACTGGGTCACCGAGGCCAAGCTAGTGCAATCATTTTTTTTTTTTAATTCAGTGAATGACATGACACCCATATACTGAGTACATATTTAATGTTTTTAGTATTCATACAGAATGTGAATTACAAAAAGTTTTCAACTTTTCAAAGTCATCCTTATGAGTTAACCTATCATATTGCTTTGGATATGAGGAGGCACCAGTTAGCAGGGTTTGGGTAACAGCATGGTGGACAGAGGTGTTCCGTCTCGGATTGCTGCCGTGTGGACTTGCACAGCAGCCAGAAGACAGTTTTACGGGTGCTGCCAGCAGGAAACAAAGGAGCCTTCACTCCAGGTACATTTTTCAAAGTATGCAACTAACTAGCAGACTGCTAGATTCAAATATGAGCTATATGGCTCAGAGAAGCACTTTCATGATACCTAATCTCTGCTACCTCTCAATTTACTCCTCCCTATGAGAAATCAGAAACAATAAACAACCTGGTTTCCAGACTTTGTTTCAAATCAGATTTGTTATTGCTGCAAAGCAAGCCCAGATACATCAAGTGAGGTGTTGTGGACCACCCTGAAGGCTGCGGAGAGAGCATAGGAACCTCTGTCCTTAGCTCTTGAGCAGGGGGAGGGTCTCACCTGCCTTTCCCGGGAGGAGCCTCACCTGACGCCTCACCTGGGACATACACACAGGTGGGTGCACAGCCCCGCCCTCCCCTTGGAACATCGGAACACATCAGGATTTTACCTCATTCCCTTCATTACTCCACCTCCACAAAGACTCTGAGATTTAGTTTAAGGATTTCTACTAAAAGGCGGCTTATTATTTTTAATTGACTAAAAGGATTACACAGAGGGCCCTTTGTTTCAGAAAAGCTCAAGGGGAGCAAGGAAAGACTCAGTTCCCCAAGTGGACAGAACTTGTCCCCAGATCTAAGGCTAACAACCAACCGCTATGTGGGCGTGTCCATGGTGAACGTTTTTTTCCTGATTGGAGTTCTCATGTCTTCCCTGTGTCACTTCAAAGAGCCATGACAGCACCCCTCCCAGGGCTGCTGGGCCCCTGGCTACCTGCTCCCTCATGGCCCTGGCACCCTCGGCAGCGGGCAGCTTGGCCTCACAGCTGCAGCTGCAGCTGCCAGCAGCTTTCTGTTCTCCTCGCTGCCAAGACTCTGTCCACAGCTGTGAACGATCAGTCATCCAGCAAACCGAACTGGACCATTCCGAGGTGCTAGGCAGGGCCCAGATGCCCCTGGGTCACCCATTACGTTAGGGCATGAAACGCCTTCCTGTCACTTTCTGTGCCCTGTGAGCTTTGGGTCAGAGAGAACTGGGTTGTTAACAGGCTCCATCGTTTATAAGCTGTGTACGTTTCTGGCCCTCTTGTACCTCCACTCCTCTGGGTGCAAATGTTGTAATACAAATGGCCCGGGCCAGTGTGGGCTCAGTTGGTTGGAGCATCTTTCCATACACCAAAAGGATTCAAGTTTGATTCTTGATCAGGACACATACCCAGGTTGCCGGTTCAATCCCTGGTTGGGGTGCATGTGGGAGGCAATCACCCCAATATCTATCTATCTGTCTGTCTCTCTCTCTCTCTCTCTCTCTCTCTCTCTCTCTCTCTCTCTCTTTTTCTCTCCCTCCCTTCTCTCTCTAAGTCAATTATATCAACTTAATCCTTGGGTGAAGATTCACAAAATAAAGAATGTGATACAAATGTAAAACAATATACAACGAGGTCAGATCTAAATAACTTAGCCCAGTGCGGTTTCTCAGCTGCAGCACTCCTGGCCTTTCAGGAGAGTCACTCCTTGTTGGGGGGTTGTCCTGTGCATTGTAAAGTGCTGAGCAGCCTCCCCGACCTTTCCACATTAGATGCCAGCACCCCTGCCCTGTGATAACCAAGAATGTTTGCAGACATTGCCAAGTGACGCTGGATTGAGAACCACTATGTAAAAACTGAAATAGCATCTGCTATTATCGATACTATCCTCAGGAAAGCATGTAGGATCCAGAAAAGTCAAAGAATGGAGCTTACCCTTACAATGATCCTTTCAGAGATGTGGGCAGACAACAGATAGAGCTGGTCCTGGTTAGCAGCATACAGTCCAACCACCAACATGAAGTATCTAACTCAGAAACAGCAGACCAATGCCAACACATCAGGGAATGGAGTCATAATTTGTGCAATCAAATACCACCCCACAGTTAGTCAACAGTGAACTTGCCTAGATGGGTTTATGCATTAAAGTTTGCATGTGTAAAGATTTTACTCCTCAGCTCTAAGATGCCCCTCCATGAGAGAGCACTGGTTTACTTGCTATTGCTCTGGGCCCCCTGTTGCCCAGTTTGAAGTATCTGGGTGCTGTGTAGCCTTCCCTGGGGAGCTTCCGCTGGGGGCTTGGCTCAGCCCATGTGTGCTGACCTGGCCCAGGCTCCATTCCCAGGCCTTCAGCAAGCACTGCTCACAAACACGTGCACAATAGCAAGTCATGTTAGAGGTCTCTTTGCCCAGAGTCACCCAAGCCACATGTCCTAGGACAGTGGTCAGCAAACTCATTAGTCAACAGAGCCAAATATCAACAGTACAACGATTGAAATTTCTTTGGAGAGCCAAATTTTCTAAACTTCAACTTCTTCTAACACCACTTCTTCAAAATAGACTCACCCAGGCTGTGGTATTTTGTGGAAGAGCCACACTCAAGGGGCCAAAGAGCCGCATGTGGCTCGCGAGCCAAAGTTTGCTGACCACAGTTCTAGGCTTCAATGGAGGGTGACTCAACTGGGTCTGCTCAGCCATAGCGGAGCCTTCCCATCCTGAGCTGGTTTTTGGCCATGTGTCCTGTACCTTCCACACCCTCCAGTCATGACTTTCGTCAAAGACCTGGACCCTCCTCTCCAATTGCTTCCAATGACAGTTTTCATCAGTTATTTCAGTTGTTTCTTCATTTATACCACTAATGAGACATTTTTTAAGATCAGACCATTTCTTGAAAGTCAAAATGAAAACTATCCCAATCAGAGAAGCTTTTGCTTTAATAACTGCATGAAAATACTTCACTAACTTCCTCTGTAAGACTCTACAAATTCTCTAATCCCTAGAGAATGGTTCCTCCTTTATATCTAAAGTAAATCAGGAATAGTAATTTTTGTTGTTGTTGTTATTTTTGTTGTTGTTAGCTACCATCTACTGAGTGCTCAATGAGTCATGAGTAGGCTAAGCAGTTTATTTACATTTTTTTTACTTAGATCCCCCGAACAACCCTATCAGAGAAGAATATGGTTGTTTTCCCCATTTTACAGAATAGGAAAATGAGTCTCAATGAGATTATGTTCTCAAGGACACCCAGCTAGTAAATAGCAGTATCATATATTCAAATGCATTTTTTTTCCAACTCTAAGACCTATATTCTAAGACCAGTGATTCTCAAACTTGAGAATACATCAGAGTCTCCTGGAGGGCCTGTTAAAACACAAACTGTTGGGCCTCACCCCCAGAGTTTTTGATTCAGTTGGTCTTTGGTGACACCTGAGAACTTGCATTTCTAATAAGTGTTAAAGTTATATTACCTCTGATAGTCCTGAGACCATACTATGAGAACCGTAGGTCTAAATTATCAGTGCAAATGTATTTTATTTTCTTAATCAAAAAAGACTACAGTGAAGCTTCAGGATTCAGGGCATCATATTAGTGACTGGCACACAGGTTTGAGAAATGCAGTCAGTCCTCGGTGCTCAGATGACAATGAGATATAAATGTATGGTCATCCCAAAGAACTATGGAAGGAACCAAGGCCAGCAGGTTTGGGCAGGGCTAGGTGGGAGAGAGGGCATTGTGGGGGTGAGGATGGCAGAAGAAAGATGGCTAACATAAAGGAGATGTGCTAATACTAGAGTCAGAGAAGGGAGGGAAATGACTGAGGGAAGCCGGGTTTTCAGGCTATTAGGGCCCAGAGGGGCAGAGGGGCCCCGGAGGGCTCTGCCTGGTCACCTAAAGTACTGGCCACCATGGTAGGACTCTGGTACCTCTGCTCAGGGTTTGGTTTCCCCTTCTTTCTCATGTTATTTGCTGTGGTTTCACTGAAGTGTAGTCGGCCCAGCGTTACTTTGGTGACTTGGTTTGCCAGTAGGTCAATTCTAAAACAAACAGCAGAAATACCAAGAGAGAGTGAAAGAACATAGAGTCTTGGGGCATATGTAACCATTCTGAGATTCTCATGTTTGGTCCCCATTTTCTGTCACACTGGGGAGGACAATTTATTCTAGTTGCTGATTTTTAATAAACGACCCATAGCATGGCTGGGAATGGGGGCCAGGGAAGTCCACAGAATAACTCTTGAATGGAAATGCTCACTCGGCAGGAGCTCAGACCCAGAGTGTCTGACTCATGGGGCTGCATGCTCCCCAGACCACATGTGGGTTCTTTTACCTCCACAGTGAGGAGAAAGATATATTTTATTCATGCCTCTGCTTCTATAGCACTCACTTCATGACTGGAGCAATTTATCTACTAAGTTCTGTGTGAATTCCATCACAGCCCCTTTATGCATCTGCCCTGTCCAGGCCTGGCTCTGGGAGGCTGCTTGCTCCTAAGGAAACCACACCCAGCCTCGAGGGAGGACCAGAGGCACCAGGCAAGTTTAGAGCTGTGTTTGTGAGGGAGGCTCCTGCTGAGCATCAGGTCTGCCCCTGCTAAGGGACCATCTTCTTCCTGCTCCAATGGGATTAACTCAGGGTCAAAACACTGAGAATTCTCAACTTATTCCAGCCAAGTCAGTTGAAAAGCAAATCCCACTCCAAAATGATTCTATTGGGGACTCTCTCTTTGGATCACCATCCTGTTTTGGAGAATCCCAATCCTGAATGCTTTCTATTTTGGAACCCATTAAGCAATCTACCAACCTATCTTTAAAAAATAAGGGGAAAAAAATCTATTGTAAGCACAGGATGGATCCCGAGCCTTGAAATTAATTCTATCATCATCATCATACCAATTAAAATTAAAAGATGTAACAGTAACTTATCCCAAGAAACCAAGTTTGTTAGCAAGGTTGTCAGTAGCAAATGATTATAAAAATAATAATGACATAAAAATGGAGCTTTTTATAAGAAACTGTTTGCAATTATGTCAATGCATTTTACCTACTTTGTTTTTTATAGCATATGTTCAAAACATTAGCATACTATCATTTAGTTTTTATGGTAGGATTTACTTAAAATAAGCAAAATAAATTGGGCAATAGGTCTTTTTCCCAAAACATTCCCAGAGGAATTCAGAAAAGGAATTTTTACCTAACAGGATTAAAAATCTTTTTGCTCCTATCAGCTTGGGACTGTTCAATAGCAATTATTTGATTGGTGGCTTCCACCTGTGTAGAACAACACAAATTAATCATTTAGAAAATTAATTCATTAATAAAAATGTTCATTAGTAAATAATATTCAAGTCTTTTGAAAGTTTTCCAAGGTGTTTGTTTAGGAACTGGCTAGAAAAGACATATAAGACATAGCTTTGACCTTAAAGCAGTGTGCTTGCTATTGGTGAAGAAAACAAATACCTGTGAAACTACACAGTGAAAACATAAGACCACAGAGCATTTCAGGTAAACAGTGAGTACAGAATGAACTAGTAGAAACATCAGTTCCAAGACACAAGAGCAACTCAGCTCAAAGGATGCATGCATTCATTCATTTATTCATTCTGTAAATATTTGTTGAGCACCTGCTATGCTCCAAAGATTGCTCAAAGCATTAGAAATGCAAACTTGACCAAATTAACAGAAATCCTTGCTCTTGTAGAGCTTACATTCTTTTAAAAAATACATTTTATTGATTTCAGAGAGTAAGATAGGTAGAAACATCAATGAGAAAAGAATCATCGATCTGCTGCTTCCTGCATGCCCCTTACTGGGGATGGAGCCTGCAATCTGAGGAGAGAACTGACTAGGAATTGAACAGTGATCTCCTGGTTTACATGTCAACACTCAACCACATAGCCACACCAGCCATGCGCAGACCTTACATTCTAATAAGAAAAACAATGATAGCCCTGGCCAGTGGTGCCCAATGATTACAGCATCTTCCCATGTACCTAAGGGTCTCAGATTTGATTCCCAGTCAAGCACATACTAGTACCAAGATTTCTGCCCGATCACAAATGGGAGGCAACTGATTGATGTTTCTCTTTCTCTCTCTCCCTTTTTCTCTCTCTAGAATCAATTTTTTTTTAAATGATAAAAATAAATATTGGAAATGACATGTATTTGTTACTTGCTACAAACTCCTATTATTATTAGTGAATATTGGCAACAGTGTATTGAGATCAGTGCTGTTATCTATGGCTTGTGGGTATTTGCACAGTAACAGTCTTTCTGAAAAGCCATTGAGCAACCTACATCAAGAGTTTCAATAATGTTCATATTTTTTATGTGTAAATTCCTCTGCTGGAATTCATTCGCCTGCAAAGATGGGTATATGCATATGTTTACTGCAGTTTTATGAATAAGAACAAAAAATTAGAAGTAAAACTTACTATAATATAGGAATTCCTATGGTACATCTATACAATAGAAATTGATATCATCTTTATAAATAATAAGTGATAAAGTCTTTAATATCAGATAGTGCTAAGTTCATATAGTGTTATAAACTTAATTTTAATAATGGAAAAATTAAGCTACCAAATGGTGAGTCCAAATATGAATGAACCTTTTCTCTTTATATTTTTTGTAATCAAAAATTTTCACAATAAACTTATTACTTCCAAAATCAGAAAAGTATGTTTTTTGTTGTTGTTTGTTTTTATTTTGTTCTCTTTGGTTCAGTTCGGTTAAGAGCTCAGTTTGAAGAAAGAGCCATCTAGCTCCAGTTTGGGAGGCTACGTCCAGGTTAATGATCAGAATAAAATATATGGACAATAACTACTCCTCCCATTAAGGCTCTGGATCTGAGGTAATAATTTAATAGATGCATTGACCAATCAGAAGTCATTCTGCCTGCATTCTAAACCCAGCTCTATTGTGTATTATCTTGGATGAATTGTGTAACATACTAGGTCTCACTCTCCCCTCTCTGTAACTGGAAAAAAGAAGGTCTTGACTAGCTTAGTGGTTCCTTGTTTTAAATCAGGGACCTCTGAGAATTTCATGAAAACTTTGAATCTGCTCCCTAAAAAATGAACCAGCATAAAAAAAAACAAACCACAAAATAATTCAGACTACATTTAGTACCTGGCCAATGTGGAAATGAGCTAGTAGAAAGATCAGTTCAATGCAGTTGAGCATTGACTCAGGAACCAAGAGGTCACTTGTTTGATTCCCAGTCAGGCCACATGCCCAGGTTGCAGGCTAGATCCCCTGTAGAGGGTGTGCAGGATACATTCTCTCTCATCGATGTTTCTATCTCTCTATGCTTCTCCCTTCATCTCTCTCTACAAACCAATAAAAACATTTCGTTTTTTAAAAAGAATACATTTATGCCGAAACCGGTTTGGCTCAGTGGATAGAGCGTTGGTCTGCAGACTGAAAGGTCCCAGGTACGATTCCAGTCAAGGGCATGTACATTGGTTGCGGGCACATCACCAGTAGGGGGTGTGCAAGAGGCAGCTGGTCGATGTTTCTCTCTCATTGACATTTTTAGCTCTCTATCTCTCTCCCTTAATTTCTGTAAGAAAATCAATAAAATATATTTTTAAAATAAATAAATAAATAAATAAATAAATAAATAAATAAATAAAACATTTAGTAGAAGAAGTGCAAGATTTATACACTGAAAAAGCGCAAAGCTGCAGTATCTGAGTCCAGGGTTAAGAAATTGGCAGCTTCCGCTTCTTATGTCCTGGAATATTTATTCTTAGAACCCATCCCCCATGCTGTGAGGAAGCACAAGCTGTCCTACAGAGAGGTCGCAGAGAGATGAGCCACGGCCTCCCAGCCACTGTCCCTTTGAGCTCATGCCTATGGCCAGCACAGACTTGACAGACATGTCAGGGAGCCATCTTGCAAACTGGATCCAGGCCCCGTTGAACTGTCCCAGCTGATGACTCTTAAACAGAGATGAGCTATCAGAGCAAAGCCCTAACCAGATTTTAGATTGTGACCCACCTACGTGATTTTCAGTATTTTAAGTTGCTGAGTTTTGAGGTTCTTAATTATGCAGCAAAAGACAACTGGAACACTTAATACATGTTCGCTGAATTAAATGGCAGGAACTATAGACTTACCTTAACCCCAAAAGCTTTCAAGTAAAACATTTCTATTGGCTTTAGACCCATTTGAGTTTTGACAAATTTTGGACTTCCCCAAACTTGGATGTGGATGGTTATCTGGAAATGGTTCTTCTTCTGGCAAACAAAAGCTTCATCTGCTGGTGAATAATTAAATCCTTTGTCTGTGACAACTCGATAGCCTATATGGGGTCTATGAGAAGAGGAATACAAGAAACCACTTTTACAAACATTCTCTACACATTTTCTTTCATTAACCATATTATTTGTGTAAACATTTCAAGAAAATATACTGCAGGGAGTTCCTTTCGCTATGTTTAATCAATCAATTTTGTGGATTTTTACTGAGAAAATGAAAATGGTATTTCAAAACACAGCTGGCTCTCTCGCAGCTTTTCATCTTCTCACAAGGAAGGAGCACAGCTCTTGCCAACCGGAGGCTTCCTTTCCTCAGCCTGCCTTTTCCCTTTGTGCTTTCTAGACTTACAATTTCACTCCACCGTGCGATACAAAGACATAGGCTAGCTGTTGGGAAGTCACCGCATTACTCAGACTTGTGAAATACGTGGGATAGAATTTTATCTTTTTCCTTCTTTAAAAAAAAGAAGCCTCTAAATTTTATCAGCAACACCATTCTCAAATAGTCACTCAGGTGAATGAATATTCTGCCTGCTGGTGATCCTATGAGTAAAGCAAGTGGGTCAGCAATACCAGGGACAGCTTTCCACCAGATCAACCAAAGCCATTGTATGGAGTGTGCTCATTCCTTTTTTATCCACCCAGTCTGTTGACTGCACCGGAAACCTACTGTGCTGGTTATTTCTGCAGAAAGGCATCAATGGTGGCGGAGTGGCTAAAAGACCAGATTCTTGCTTTCCTTGTTTTGCCAAATCATTTTCAATAGAATGTCACATGTTTCATTAAATGCTTAATTAATTCAACATCTTTACATATTTAAATACTCTTCTTTTTTTATGTTTTATTTACCCTTATTGTTGAAAGTATTACAGATGTCCCTTTACCCCTCCATTGGCCCCCTCCACCTCGAACGTGCCTCCCCCCCAAAAAAATAAAACTATTTAATGTGAAACGTTATCAAGTAGAGAAGAGAAGATAAAGGTTGAAAACTCCTATGGTGAGTTTTTTACAGATGTTGTAGCTACAGAACATGACTTCTAAGTCATCGAGGATTCTGAATGCAGGTTTTTCCTCGGAAGGACGTGGGCGGAAGAGGCAGTCCTTCCTGCCCCGCTCGCTCTCTGCTACTGTGGATTTTTGCATCCTGGGATCTCCGTTTGTAAGGCCGCCATTACAATGAACAACCCAGAGTTTCTAATTTGTCCTCTAATTCCAGAGACAGAAAATATTAATGGGCCTCTTGGGTAAGTAGTTTTAGTTCTTTGCAGGTAAAGCATCTTCTCAATCAATCAAGTCACCGGGTCATTGATTACCCTCAAGGAGCTGATCAGTCAAAAGCTCCACAATCACAGTGCAGGCAAGAAAATCCATTGAATGAAGAATTTGATAAAGACCACGTGTCTTATGCCATCTGGGAACTTTATATTGACTCAGGTTTCTAGAACTAATCTGCTAATTTGCTCATCTAAAGGCTATATGGATTGAATTGTATAGATTTTCCAACAGAGGGTAATAAGAACTGTCTTGGTTAAGAAAAAAAGGAAATATCTTGCTGTGATCTTCCATGTTTTACTGTCAAAAACTCTGAAGGAAGCAGGTAAGGCTGACAGCTCATATATGAGCCTGAAATTTAAGGCTAGCTATAACAGAAACTGAACCAACCAATAATTATAGTGCTGAAGATGATTCTGAGTCTTAAACACCAATCTCTGGTTAAGAAATCTATTTATTTAAGCATAGAAATTCTATTTTTTATATTAAAAGTTAACTATAAAGTCACCTAAACTAGTTTTTTTTTAAAGCTATTTTTAACACAGGTTTTAAATATTATCCAGGAAAAAAAGAGGTTGGATAAATTTTCAATCCCCTAACCTTAGTTAGGTAATTTAAGAAAACAATATTTTTGTAACAAATTAGACATAATAATCTAAGAAGACACAAGTGACTTTCTTTCTCAGTGATCTGAGTAGTGAAACCAAGAGAGCCAGATGAACATTGCCTTCCTTTCTGCTTAAAAAGCGAATCCTGGTTTCAAAATAAATCTTCCTCTTCATCTTGAGTTGATTGTGCCAGTGTCCCCCTTTTTTCTAGATCAGTCGAGAATAGATTGGCTGTTCAAATAAACTTAAAATGTAATCTATTCAAGTCAGAAGAGAAATAATAGTCACCTGGAAAACTTGATTAACTCAGATGTAGAGAGATTAAGAAGAATTAAAAGGTGTCAATTAAAATACTGTGCATGTTTTTTGTCCTCATTATTTAGTCCTCATATTTAAGATAGAATACCGGACACCCCCCAAAAGATAATAAAATGAAGGCTAAGACTCAAAACCAAGACCTCTGGGAACTTCCTTTCTTTTTCTAAGTGCACACAATAGCAAAGACACAAAGTTGTGGCATTTCAGAGATACAATTAGCAACTTGCTTCTTTCTGCCTCCTATTAAACATACCAACTCCCAAATCTGTTTAACTCCTTAGATTTTTAAAAAATAATTTATTTTATTTTTTCCATCACCATTTATCCCCTGTATGCCCTCTTCTACCTCTACTTAACTCCTTAGGTTTTGTTTTAAGGAAAATATTTCTTCCTTCTGGTTCATCTTAAGTTAAAGTCCTAGGGATAATTTTTGCTCTTAAAGAAGTTATACTTGAATTTGGAAAATGCCACAAAGGCCTTCAAGTTTGTAGGCTGACATTTCTTATTTTACATTATTTTTATTTCTTGAAAATTTCATTTTATAACCACTAACATTTTCCAGTGTTTCAAGAAGGTATTTATAATCAATGAAAATTCTAGAAGACATAGATGGGTAAATTATATCTTAGGGAATATAGAAAAGTCTTAAAGAATGTTTAAGAGCAATAATGTAGCCAAAACTGGTTTGACTCAGTGGATAGAGTGTCGGTCTGTGAACTGAAAGGTCCCAGGTTTGATTCTGGTCAAGGGCATGTACATTGGTTGTGGGCACATCCCCAGTGGGGGGTGTGCAGGAGGCATCTGGTCGATGTTTCTCTTTCATCGATGTTTCTAGCTCTCTATCCTTCTCCCTTCCTCTCTGTAAAAATCAATAATATATATATATATATATATATATATATATATATATATATATATTTTTTTTTTTTTTTTAAAGAGCAATAATGTATAAGTCCATGTTTGTTTCTTAGAACCATAATGTCGTAAGAATAGGGTGTAACATTCCCAGTGTATGGATATTCTGTATGCTTTGATTTCCATCTCTGAATACAAAGCCATCAGTGACTATGATTACGGCAGTGTATGTTAAAAGTGAACTTGGCAATATCAATTGGTAGCATAGAAGCTGGGGGAGGAAGGTGTCACTAGCTAAAAATGTATTGTGGCCCCACAATGCATTCTCTACATTTTTAAAATACCTGCAGGATTACATGTTGGTAATTCGGGAAATTTCCACTTTCCAGAGTTTAGTTTAAACTAAACATGTGGCCAATGGATAGAATGCAGGCCTTCAGACTGAAGGGTCACAGGTTCAATTTCGGTCAAGGGTACATGTCCGGGTTGCATACTCAGTCCCCAGTGTGGGGTGTGCAGGAGGAGGTCAATCAATGATTCTCTCTCATCACTGATGTTTCTATCTCTCTCTCTTTCCCTTCCTCTCTGAAATCAATTTAAAAAACGAAAACAAAACAGGGTATGTGATCTAAGAAAGATTCCCTCCTCCTGCATTGTTCAGTGGGAAAATTATAAGGAGTTAGAATTATGAGTGTGGATCCATGAAGGCCAGAAACCCATGTCCCAGTTACTCATTAGCAAGAATGCAAAGCATAGGAGTAAGACATACCTTCTCACTGGCCCATCCCATTTGGCCAAGGTGGCACAAACCCCAAATACGTAGGTTAGTTTTGAGAATTAGCCCTGCCTTTCTCCCCTCACCCTCCAGCCCACCGCAAGGGATTCTCAAGGCCACTTACAGTTTTTCGTAATGACCATTTAACAAACTATGCCAAGGAACACTTTGGTACGGCTGCCACTTCAGAGCAGGGGAGCACTGGTCTGCAGGCATCATGTTCTGTCCCTCGCTGTCATGATCTTGCATTTCGCTGCTGTAACTCCTACTCATCACTGCAAAGAAATAGGTGTGTGAGATCTTTGCCCCAACGCTACTTTTCCTAGACTCACAGGCAGCTGCATGGAGCTAATGAATAGGCCGTTCGAAGGCTGAGTGCCTGTGTGGGAAGCAACATGGTTGGGAGGCAGGAGGCACGTAGCTAGTCTTGTTCCCTCATCTATAGAAAGAGCAGCTTGAGATCAGTGGTCTCTAAGGTGCCAGGGTGAGTACGTGTTGGAACCATTGCCCTCAGTATTTATCTACCGCAGACCCTGCACAGCATCTCCTCACTTCCATCCTGTGTGGTCCCAGTCCACTCACAGTCTGAGGAGGGTGGGAGACCCAAGCAGGTTTGGCCAATGCAAGTACAGCATTCAGTAGTGTGTCATAATTGCATCAGGGAGACACCGGGCCTAGTCCAATCCAAGCAGAGTGGATTTCTGCACCACTGGAATGCAGGTCCAAAGATGCTACGATTTTTGCATGAGGTTTGAACCTGGAAGATACGTCTCCGAGAGCTACTGGCACCCTCCGGGGACAAAAGAGACAAGTCTGTCTGGGAAGAACACAGCACAGTAGAAGGCACACTGAGAATGAAGGGCACCCCGTCCAATGGGGTGATTTGAGTTCTGGGATCTAATCTTAAACTCTTGGGTTCCAGCAGTCAATAAATCCTCTCGTTGTTTGTTTGTTTGTTTATTTGTTGCTTAAGGCAGTTTGAGGTTTGGGTTTTTGTTCCCTGCAAACAGTATATTCTAATTCGTTACAGGTCCCTGGTGGCACCAAGATTCTGTGGTCCAACTAGCTTTTGAACTTAGATGAGTTATTTTTTCACACAGTGCCCTACTTCCCTCAACTGTGAAACAGAAATGAAAACAGGTGTCCTGCCCAACTCGCAACATTACACAGCAGAGAAAATACCGTGGCAGCACTTTCAGAAGCTGATACCGGGAGAGAGTGACAGCGATTTCACACGTGCAAGCTACTGTTTTTTGCATAACCTGCCCGTTGTCTTAATTTGAGTGTGCTTCCAAACCGTACGATTCAACCACAGAAGATAATTTTAATGTAAAGTCCACTGGTACGTTTGCTGTTCCCCTTACTCTCTGAACTCCTCCACCATTACACATGCCCGACATCAGGAGTGAAAGGGAAACAGTGGTTGTTCATGAGATCAGGTACAGGCTGTGAGAACAATGCAGAAATATGACATTGGCTCCTATAGAGTGCACTTAGCCCACAGCTTGGAAAAATGCAGGGGGATGTGGCTGGGTTTCCTTTCACTCACCCAACTTTCTTTCTTTATACTTTCACTAGGGGCCCAGTGCATGGGTTCACGCAGATTGAAAGGAAATTAATTAGAAGGTGGCCGGCAAGATGGGACTGGCCGAGATGGCCAGGGCTCAAAGGGAGTGAGTGGGGTCCCTCCGGCAGGTGGGGCCTTTGGCCTGGCCTGTGAGGATTGGGCCAAAACCGGCAGTTCAACATCCCCTGAGGTCATAGAGTGCGAGGGGGCACTCTGCAAAGTTGCTGTCGCTCTGCAGCTCCTGGATTGAGTGTCTGCCCCCTGGTGGTCAGTGCATGTCATACCATGTTATAAGACATCCTCCGAAAATAAGACCTAGCGCATGGAAAAATAAGACATCCCCTGAAAATAAGACCTAGCGCATCTTTGGGAGCAAAAATTAATATAAGGCACTGTCTTATTTTCAGGGAAACAGGGTAGCTACCAGCCGGTTGGCCAGTCAGCCAGTCAACTGGCTGCTTAGCCTTATATGTCTATAAATTGAGTACTTCCTAAAATAAATAAATGAGCTGCTTCAGGTTGCTTTTGATCCCAAATGCCACAGAAAATGTGCTTTTCTTGGGATATCACTCTTACATGTCACCTAAGCAACACATCTACTTTTTTGTTTTTTTGCAAATATGGATTTGGGAATGATTTCTCAAAACCCTGAGGAATGTTTTCCCAGCTGTGAATGAGGAGGTCAGTTTTGCAAGAAGCTCTTTATGTCCTCACTCCTCCAAAAGTTATCTGGCCTTAAGTATTTTCAAAACTACAACAACAACAACAAACCTTTCTAATGTCCTCCTGTTTATACCAATACAGAGAAAGGGCGAAACTGGTTCTTCCAGCTCTCCTTCCTCTCTCCTCCAATGAAGAGAAAGCTAAATGAAGTTCAAGAACTTCAAGTTTGGAAAGAGTTTCAATCACAACTCTACGCTCCGTGGCTATCCCATCTTAGGGAATGGTTTAAAGACTCTGGCTTCAGTTTCTTCATCTGCAAAATGGGAGTAGCCTTAGGACACCTCCCAGGATTACTGAAGGGACTCCATGAGTAATGTCTGTCAGTGCTTAGCATAGTGTCTGTCACCAGTAAGAGTTTAGACAGTGGTATCATCATCACACCTATTTGTTTCAGTTTAGGTGGCTTATTCCCAAGAAGCCTTGGTAAATACTTCACTTCTTGGCCTCCATGGTAACGCTATCTGATGTGAGAACACCAGCTAATTCAGGCTCTTTTCCACTCAAGCATGGTGGCAAGGGAAAGTGCCAGAGGAAGCAGCCCAAGGCCAGCTCTGCTCCTGGAGGTGCTGGTAGGGAGGGTGTGCAGCGGGAAGAAGGCATTGTCCTAAAGGATAATGGCACTTCCCACCCTTTCTCATCCTGGAAGCAAGGATATCGGAGCAGCCACCCAAAAGGACTGACATAGCCTGGCTTCTCTGGGAGCTGGCTACCAGCTGGTAAACCGCACGGATGGGAATCTGGAACCACAAGCTCACACCAAAATTCCAGGCACAAGCCTGAGCCTATTTAAGAGCTTACTAATACTGCTAAGAACATCTACTATTCCTGTGTGTTTTCTGCATTATGAGCACTGTCCCAGACACCTGACACCACTTCTCATCAACATTAACCTTTAAGGTAAGGACCCCCTTTATAATAAACTTTCTTTATTGAAGTATACTATACACAATGAATTATGATCATTAATACACAACCTGATACTTTTTTTATAGAATGAATTATACCAGGTAACTACCTTCATCAAGAAATAGAACGTTCCAGCACTCTAGAAGACACGCCCCCTGCTCTCTTCCCATCACTGCTTTCTTCCGCCCAAGAATAATCACTATTCTGAAATCTAACACCACAGAGAAGTTGACAGAAATGGGATGATATGATAGGTACTCTTATGTGTCGGTTTCTTTTGCCCAAATTTATGTTTATGAGATTCACTTATTATTGTTGTAAATGGCAATTGCTTGTTCATTTTTGTTGCTGTATAGTACTCCATTGTACAACTATACTACAATTCACTCTGCCCTTGATGGCCATTTGCGTTCTTTTCAGTTTGTGGCTGTTATGAGTAATACTGCTATGACTGTTTTTGTGCATGTCTTTCAGTGGCCTACGAACAAATTTCTGTTAGGTGTATTCTAGGTGTGGAATCACTGGGCCATAAGATGTGCTTTAGTAGATGCAACCAAACAGACATAGAAAGTGGTTATGAAGAAAGGATTCTTAATCTCACTCAACAATTGTGGAAATGGGTTCAAAGACCTGAAATACCTTGCTTAGTGTTACAGCATTTAAGTGGAAGAGACGGGATTCAGACCTTTCTCTTCCTTCATGCTACACGTAGGACTTCTTGAGGGAAATGTAACAGAAGAGAGAAGCAGAAACATGACAGAAGCAAACTGCCCAAGTCCCAGCTTTTTGGAGAAAAACTTGTAGCTTAGATTTGAATGTCTTTTAAAATATTTTTATGCATTATTTTAAAAATAATCTTGGAAAAATGGTAAAGTAGAACTTATGACTCTTATTTGATAACCAAGAAAAATGAGTTCCCAGTTGCTGGAGAGATAAGACAATCTTCTGACTCTATAGTGTGAATTCAGCCATTGCACCTCTCAGTGGGGGCCAAAGGTCACACTGGAGCTGGTAAACCCTTTTGTATTTGATGTGCAAACTATATGAGACCATGGACCCTTTAATATTTGGGGTTCAGATTAGGTGGGACCAGGAACCCTCTCATATTTGGGATCCAGACCACATGGGGTCAGAGCCAGCTAACAGGAGCCTGCTTTCCAGTTGCCTTTTCTCAGAGCAAGATTTTATACCTGCTCAAAGCAACCCAGTAATTCTACACTGTGAGCCATATAAATGGGGATCTTGGAAAGCTCGGCCAAAGTGAATTGCTTGGAAGAAGGTCACCAGGGTATTATCTCCCATCAAAACCCTGCCTGCAATACTAGCATAAGCTCCCCCTTCCTCTGCCAACATGCCACTGCCCCAGGGCCTTGGTAAAAACCCTGGGCCTCAGCAACACCAACTCTGAGCTCTGCACTAGAACATGTTTGCTGAAAATATAAACTGTAATGAAAACATGGCACTTGTGTTACTTGAGTTTTGCACCCCCCCCCCTTTTTTTTTTTTTTTTGCCATCTGCTCATTATTATTCTAGACCCATTGTCTAGAGCCAATTATCTCCAGCCAGCTTTTCAGTGACCTTTGAATGGATGTTCAACAAGGGATTGGAGGCTTCCTGTCTGCTGGGACATTTCAGACAGCCTTCCACGGGCTGTTCTCCGGAGTTGGTGACAAATCAATGCCCTTTCCTTGGTCAGGCAGCAGAAACTCATTACAAGATGGAGCTTAGCTCTGAAATGACCAGGGCGATTAGAGCAGCCTCTGGTTACACGAGGAAACCCCTGGAAGGTTTGGGGGGCGTGCCTGGTATTCGCAGTGAGCGGTGCCTCTGTGGGAGAGCGAACAGATGGGCCTCTCGTCTGGCTGGGAACGCACTCAGCCTTTTGTGTGTGAGAACCATATTGAAGCTGAAGGCTGGATGCAAGGATGCCTGCAGAAATTAGGGAGGCGGATGGAGAGCTCTATGTTATCTGGAAAGGGGCCCTTACTTTTTGTATTTCCAGGGATGGAATAAGAAAAAGCAAGCAACTGCTGACCACAGTGGATCTGTGCAAAATAAAAGAGCGTAGGAGGTTTGGACACACAACTCCGCCGCCGCAGCACTCCCAGGAGGGGGCAGTGTGTGGGAGTCGGTTGAGAGCGTGAAGGCACCATCCACTGAAGGGCCCTGGGGCCCAGGCTGGTGCTGAGGCCAGAGGTCCCTGAAGCACCAGCTTTTGGCAGCTGGGAAAGGCAGAAGCCGCGACCTCAGTGGGCGCTTTCACACCGCCTGCCTTTGCTTATTTACAGTGGCTAATAGAACTGATGTGTGTATTATCCGTTTCCCTAGCAAGCACCATAGCGTTTACTCTGAAAATTCTGAAGTTCAAGGCTCCAGACTAAAAAAAAAAAAAAAGCAAAAAAACAACTTTCTCAACTTGATCCCATCTCTAAGCTTAATGTGTCACATGTTATATAAGACAAAAAAAAACCCGCAATGTCTCATATGTTATAGAAGACAAAGAATAAAGTAGGCTGACCACTGGGGCATCAGATGCTTGTGCTAAAAGACTTCTAAAATGATGTTACAAAGTTGTGAAGAGCTACTGGGAGCCTGCTACTTGAAATAAATGTTAGGGAAACTCAACTGTCTACCTTCCTGCTCCCCTGGAGAAGTCCTCTAAGGTCCTGCTTCTCAGAATAGCTGCCGTGAGCAGCAGCATCGCTGGGAGCTTGTTGGGAAGCTGTGACCTGGGACCCCTCCTAGGCTTCCTGCGCCAGTTCTGACTGTCCCCTGCCTGTGCTCCCTGTGCGCACTGCAGCGGGGGGACTGGCACTGACAGAGCAGGGAGCCCACCGCAGGCTCGTGAAGGTGCTGCCAGTTGCCCGGGGTCTGAGTCCTCTGAGACACACTGTCCTCCAATTGAAAGGACTGGTGTGCCATCTGCAGCAGAGAGAGCAAGTGGCATCTCTTGCTGGGAGCTCCCGTATGACCCCATCTATGACTGCAAGAAACATTATGTTTCTTGCAGGGAAGAAATAAACTCCCAGGATCAATCACTGTCCTTATATGAGAGAGAAAAAAATTTGTAGTGCTGCTCCAAGGCTAGTTAAAAAAAAAAAAAAAAAAAAAAAAAAAGCCCTGACTGAATAGGCTGGGCAGTGACACTCTGTTCCCCCCCCCCCCGCCCCCCACCGTCCTCCCACCGTGCCTAACACCCTCCCCCTTCAACACCCATCCCCACCGGCTCACTTGGTCTGGAGTCAGGGGCCCCCATTCTATGGTCCCTGGAGTCCTCCAGCGTCTGTGTGCACTTTCTCTTCTTTGTTGGTGGCAATGAGGCTCTAAAATCAATAAACCAAAATGAAGTTAGGTTCCTTCTTTGCTCTCCATGTCACAGTAAATAAAATCTAACATCCCAGTCCTCTGTTCTTTGCTTTCTTAAGTCTAATTCTAACGAACTAATGTTCCTTGGGCCCATACTAGTCTGCAAAACCAGGTCTATGCAGGGAGTGGACAAAGCAAGCCCCTATTCCACGAATCCTACTGGTCTCAAACTTCATTTTCCCTTACTCAATGGGCCTGGTTCACCAACTCGAAAAACAAACTGCCAGCCCTGGCCCGTGTGGCTCAGTTGGTTGGGTGTCTTCCCATCACCAAAAGGTTGCCAGTTTGATTCCTGGTCAGGGCACACGGTCAGGTTTCAGGCTCGATCCCCAGGGCATGCACCAGTTGATGTTTCTCTCTCCCTCTCCCTTACTCTCTCTCTAAAATTCAATTTAAAATCTTTGGTAAAATAAAATACACTGACAAAGACAGAGGACTCATTGAGACAGAGAATATACCGACGTAACATACAGTATATATTTAACACCTGAAAAATTTTTTTCATCTGGGATTTTACCATAATTTTCTATGGCCTTTCCTCCTTTTTGCCATCTTCTAGGCCCAACAGTTGGAATGAAAGGGAAAAGGGGTGAAGTGGAAGGGAAAAAATGAGCAAGGAATATTAGTGAACGTTTAATTGAGAGATGTTTTTCTGAGAGCTCAGGCACAAATTCCCTTGAGTGCTCTCTCTGAGGCTACAAAGCAAACAGGGATTTCTCCACCCCCGGAATCTCCCTAGGATTCCTGATACGTTAGCTTTTCATCGAATGGGGACCTTGGGTTTAGGGCAGTGGTCAGCAAACTGCGGTTCACGAGCCACATGCGGCTCTTTGGCCCCTTGAGTGTGGCTCTTCCTCAAAATACCGCAGCCTGGGCGAGTCTATTTTGAAGAAGTGGCGTTAGAAGAAGTTGAAGTTTAAAAAATGTGGTTCTCAAAAGACATTTCAATCGTCGCACTGTTGATATCTGGCTCTGTGGACTAATGAGTTTGCCGACCACTGGTTTAGTCAGGGTTTTAAATGAATAGATGGGAAAGCCAAGAGCACTGGGCCTGGCCATGTCTAATAGATGTCTCCACACTGCCATCTCCTGGACAAGGCGCCACTGTTCACCCTCTACTGGCGCTGCCTGGGTCGGGCTGCTCTGAGGTCTGGCATAACCATCTCGCTCTTTACCCCGGGCTGTGGCACAGAGGCTGCTGGTGGTAAGAACAGCTTGTCCCCAGAAGAGAGGACACAGACGGGTCCAGGGCGGGGGAGGGAGGGCCGGTGTCTGGACCGCAGGTGGGAAAGTCGTGGTGGGCGAGGCCGGGGTGGCTCAGGTGGGAGGAGCTCTGTGGGGGGAGCTCGGGCAGTGTTCGGGGTGCAGCAGCAGAGTGGGGGAAAGCAGCCGGGGTCCTCACAGTCGGGCAGCATGCACCTGTGGGGACACACAGGTGAGAAGGGCCTCTTCCCGGCCACCCAGAGCTGAAGAAGGTGCAGGTTGTGCGGGAGGCGCGGGGCACTCACCTTTGACCTGTGGAGGCGAGCAGGAGTCGGATGCAGAGTAGGGTCGGGTATCTGGGAGCTGGCGGTGCCTGAGGATAAACCAGACATGCGTTGCTTTTTTTTTTTTTTTTTTTTTTGCAGTAACTATTCCATCATTATATTTTTGTCACCAGCAGAGGCGGCCCTCAGTGTGCGGCACCTCCAGGGACGGTTGCAGGGGCCAGAACCCACGGACCACGCCCAGGGTCCTGTACAAATGAACAGGCTTTGAGCCAGATAGACCAGGGTTTGAGTCCCAGCTCTTCCACTTCTCAGCTGCGTACCCATCAGCAAGTCCAGAGCCTTTCCAGGCCCTGGGCTCCTCGCCTACAAATGGGGAATATTCATTACACCTTCCTCGTAGTTTCACTGTGGAATTAAATGAGTCACTGTGTGCAAACCCATAATGCCCCAAACCTAGAGAGTGCTCAGGAAACTTGAATGAACATCATTATTGCTTTTGAACATGTTGAAAGCACTTAAACCAGAGATAAGGGCTAAGACAAAGCACGCAAGAGTTTTCCAGATGTGCTTTGGGGGATCCCAAAGTTCTTGGCAGTAGCTCAGGGTTTTATAAAAGAAAAATTTTAATACTTTGGCCAAGGGGGGGGGGAGAAGAAAGGAGGGAGGGGGGCCATAATATTTATATATTGAAGTGCACGTAAAATTTTATGTAAAACAATGAGTACCATTACCAACAAAGTGTGAAAACTTCTGTTCCAAAAAACCTGCCAGTCTCTAACAGCTCAGAAAGTCTGTGATCCTAACTCACACCCAAGAACCACCACCCTCCACTCGATTCCTTTACTGGAGAGTAAGCCGACATGTTTTTCTTGGTTGGCTAAGACTTCACGCTTATCCAATAAAGAGAAAAGTCTGCTTTTATGATTTACTAAGAAAGTTATGCCTTCTCCTCAAATTGATCCTTTACAATTGATTCACTTCTTACTAATAAGGGGAGAGAGAACAAACATATTTTTAAAGTTCTCCAAAAAAAAAAAAAAAGCCCCAACCGAATGAAAGTAAAGGAATAAAGAAGCATCAACACAAAAGGGCATAGAGCGCATGAGCAGAGACCACACCAGGCCATATTTTATGACACTGGTGCAGAAAGAAGTAGTGTGGATGGGAACTGAACCACAGGGTAGAAAAAGCCCAAACGAGACTTCCTGGGATGAGCGAGGGGACGGAGGAGCCAACAGGAAATTATCTAATTCAAATACAAATCCAGAAAAGCCCAAGACATTGGTGTTACCAGGAGCCTCTGAATTTGGAGCTGAAGCTAAAAGGATCCCTTGAAAATGAGATAATCTGCCCCAACCTGTACAGCCCGGCAACCAACTCCATCCGCCCAACAGAAGCTGAAAAAGCTTCCGCTCTGGAGAAATGAACCCCAGGAGACTATGGAGCTACTGGGACCAAAATGGAAAGATTAATTAAAAGTCCAAATGCTGAGCTGAGACCTTTCCTTAACTTGGCTTTGCAGGCATTCAGGCAAGTTTCTCACAGTGGAAATGGAAGGTTGTTCCCTAGAAAATTCTGATGTGCTGGGGGTGGGAGGTAGGACAATCATATTTTGAAGTCACCCAAGAAAATGGCCAGTCCCTGCCCGATCACTCTACAACTGTGTATCCACTAATCCAGAACTGATTCAGATACTAAACCAGCAAAAAGGAATTTTAAGCAGTGATTGTAACTAAGCTCAATGGAATAGGATAAAATGTGTTAGTAAAAAAAAAAAAAAAAAAAAAATCCTTTGAGAAGAATGGCTTGCACACAGAATATCTTAAACAACAACCAACAAGAAGGAGCAGACATTTTCAGAAAGGACAGAGAACAAACAGCTAGATAAATAAGGAGTGCAAAAGAAACACAAAAGGCTCTTCTGCTTCTGATGTGACTGGTGAGCTCCTAACAGACCTGACCCTCCCACGATAAAAGCTATCTGGAGGGAAAAACTGTAATGTACCCCAAAACAATGAAAAGTGGACAAAGGCAAGAAAATTCTTATTAAAATAAAAGTTGGACAGAGATAATGGCATAAGATGAGTTACTTGTTTACAGCTCTTGGCTTTAGAGCCGGTTGAAGTCAGATCCACAAAACAGCTAAATGACCGTAGAAACCTACAACCTTTCGGGCCTAAGGAACCAGAGAACAGAGTGTGAGGCAAACACAGCTGCTGAAGGTGAAAGAGGAATCTTGGAAAAGAGAGGTCTAGAGAGAAGAAACCCCAGATTCTGCAGGTAAACTCTGCCCAAGTGTCTGGCTGACTCCTGAGCCGTCCGGGTGGGGCTACATTCACACAGCCCAGCCAAAGGAAAAAAGGACTACATTGAATTTGAGCTACTGCCCAAGAGATAGACTTTACAAATTGAGAAACTGAGTCTAGGCAAAGTAATTACCTGGTAAAACAAAAAATGTACAAAGTGTCTCAAAAAACTTAGACATGCTTTAACAGCTGATAGCTCATTTGATGGTTTGTTGTTGTGGGGGTGGTTTTTAGATTTAACCCATTGGAATTAATAAATATTCAAAGTGTGTATACATTTTGAGGACACCCTATATATACTCTTCAGAGGAATATAAAGTAATCCAGAGAATTGACATGTCCAGGATACAATTAAGAATCCCTCAATGACTTAGTAGGAATACCTATCTTTTGGTTACCAACTTAAGTTGACAAATAAACAGAGAAAAATACTCCTAAAAGAATGTTGTCCATAAATATACAATTAATTATTCCAACAACAGCATACAGAGAACTACTCAATAAAGAAACAGAAAAATGTAGCCCACCCTCAAGGGAAAGAATGGACACTAATCCAGAACTGATTCAGATACTAAATTAGCAAAAAGGAATTTTAAGCAGTGATTGTAACTAAGCTTAATGGAATAGGAGAAAATGTGTTTGTAAAAGAAAAAAAATTAAATATAAAATCTCAGCAAAGATATGGACATTATTAAAAGAAAAAAAAACTAAATGGAAATTCTAGAGTTGAAGACAATTTTAGGTATGAAACTTAAATGGGGGAGTAAAGGGGGACATCTGTAATACTTTCAACAATAAAGATAAATTTTAAAAAGAAACATCATTTAAATAAAAGTTGGTAGAAATATCTAAAAGGGTTAAAAAGCACCTGCCTCTGGGAGAGCCAAATTCAGGGACATGGGAGTAGGGCAGAAGATTGCTGGTTTTCATTATAAGCTATATATAGGACACCATCCAACTTCTTAAATTCTGCCCATGGGTCACTCTGATAAATCTACTATTTATATTTGGTGATTGACTGTATGATCTTAAATGTCACATTCAAGATTCTAGGCAGTTAAGTTACCTTTACATTAGCAGCACCACTAAATTCAATGACATGAATAAAAACTAACCATCACAGGTAAATTATGAGTTTACTCAGGGAAATAGGGCATGGCATATTAGAAGCAGGAATACATGCCCCATTCCTTTGTGGAGAACCAAAGGTCCCTGTGTTCAGTAGCAGCAATGTGTGTTGGCGGTTTTAAAATGAAAAATTTTAAATTTTAAATGCATTCCTTAAAACGTAGTGTCCCTTCCAAAAGGCATCACAACTATTCCTTTATTTCATTGCATCCCATGCTTGATGCATTCTAACATAAAATTTGGCAGTTCTTTTCAGAGAATTTGAGCAACGAATTTATGATAGCTACTTTCAAACTAGGAAAGTTATTTAAAATAAGTAAGCAAATTGTTAGAACAGGGGCAATGATTAACTTCAAGGGAAACACTCTTATCTGGAACTGTTTCTAAATTGCCAACTCTTCTTTAATCACGGGCACCATGGCAGGAATCTCAGGAATGCTCCTGAGACTGGCTTTGGGCTTCCTGCTCTGGATTTACCTCGGAAGCCAAAGAGATTTGGTGAAGTGGGCCCAGGAAGCAACAGGCACCAGGAGCCACTCCTTGAGGGGCCAATTCTGTCTCTAGCTTCTGTAGGAGAGAGCTGTGAAAATAAGAATTTTAGCTGCTGATAAAAAATAGAGTAATTTCCCTTCTCAACCCTTTCATCTGAGACACACAACTTGTTTTGAAGGGTGAATGGAGATCCAGTCTTTTGGAAGTTGAAGGTCACGCAAACTCAAAGAGAGGGTGCAAACTAGACTTTAAGGTTACACGTATATCCGTGACCTCTGCATATTGCCCCCCGAAGCAGCCAGTGTTTCTTCCAGAATGCAGCCAGGCTTGATCAAGTATTGAGCACTTACTAGTGGTTATGGCTCCTGCAGGACATATAGAATTAAGATACAGGCCTCATGTGAACACCCAGCTGGGACTACTGGCAACCCAGCAGTCCGATCCCCAGCTTTCTTCAGTGACCTCCCACCAACTGCCTCTTCTTTCAAGTTCTGTCACACAGTGAGCTCAGCTTGGCACAAGGCCTGGCAAAAGTTAAATGCCTGGTACTTAACACATGTGAGTTACTGCTTTTTTACATTACGTGAAGTCATCTATGTATCACGAGAGGACTTTCCTGACCACCCCCCATAAAATGGTAGCCTTCCCCCAGCCCTCACTCTCTACCCCCTTACCTTATGCTTACTTTTCTTATCTTACTGAATGGCTTGATCCTCTGTGCTAGTGGTTCTTAACCTTTCTAATGCCTCGACCCTTTAATATAGTTCCTCATCTTGTGGTGACTCCCAACCATAAAATTATTTTTGTTGCTACTTCATAACTGTAATTTTGCTACTGTTATGAATCGTAATGTTAATATCTGTGTTTTCCGATGGCCTTACGCAACACTGCTAGCGGTTCTCAACCTGTGGGTCGTGACATGAGGAAGGTTGAGAACCGCTGCTGTAGAGCCTAAGACAATAGGAAAGAACCTACTGAAGAACCTACTCTGGGCCACACACAGAACTAGCGCTCTGCCTGTGTTGATTCATCTGATCTCTACTACCCCCACTTGGAAGGTACTGTTACTGCGCCTGTTCCACAGGCAGAGACACTGAGGCTTCAGGAGGTTATTCGTCTGGCCACGAATCAAGCTGGAGTCAAGGGGTCTATCCCCAGAG